TATGGGTAGGGACGGCAGGATAGTGTACCTGGGTCCAGCTGAAAGGCTGCCGCTTGCGTGCACTTGGCTTAATTACGATGTAGGAGCACCTAGCTGACTGAGCAAAGTTTAGGCGTCCATGCTGTTCCATCCACAACATCTCTTCAAATGCGTTCAATCTGGGCTCCAGGCGCCAGCAGCCACACACCTCAGCTGGATCCAGCCAGGCGGTCAACAGTCCGATCCGTCATCACAACGCAGAGTGAGGACAAGGCGAGTCCTGCGCTTCCGGCAAGCTCCTTTCAGGTGCTCCTGGCAGAGGTAGCTGCTTCATTCTCCCACTATCGTCGTGTCGCTATGATCATGGATGGGATGGTGGACTGCCATCTGGCTGGAATGGATTCGCTTGGATATGCTTGTAAACTGCGGTGGATTCCAGCCCACCATCCAAATCCAAGCCATGTCTGTGCAAATCACCACACTGCCGTGCCTGAGTTTAGAAGCCTCGCAGCTGCTACATTGAGCAAAATAATTGGGAAGCTCAATTATATTAATCACGTGACGTTTGACAACTCATGAATTTGTCATGAACCACTAGGCAATGTGCAGTAGTCCGTCAGCTGAGGGCTTTGCTCCCCAAGGTACTTGCCAGAATGCTTCTCCCAGGCGCAGCCCCTGTCACTAGCACGACACGTGATGCAAACATCCAACAGCTCTCTGCACGGGCGCCTGAAGTTCTCAGAAGGCTCCGGAGTACTGGCACGGCACTCAACATTGCGAATCCGCATGCAACAAAACCGCAGCTTCCCAAAGCAAACATGCCCTCATTCATCTCAACCAATAAAAGACTGAAGATGGACATGCTGACACAGAGCACGAAGGAACGAATCATCTGTAATAGCTCCTGGCCTATGTAATCCATGGGTCATTTTGTGCCGTGCTTCATCCAAGTCAGATCTTCGGATTTCCAGTATGATCGCTGCACTATTCTCAACTGACGGCCTATCTCCGCGTCTGCACAGACACGCATACATGCATAGGTTGGCATGCCTTTGAGACCCTTATGTTGGGTTCTTCACCTGTTTTCGTGTCATCTTCAGAGCTTTGGCAAGTGCATTGAACCTAGTTACTTATAGTCCCCCTTAAGTAGATAGGATATGGCTTTGGGTAAATTATAAAAAGATCCCCATATACCCCATATTCTATCTATAAGGGGGACTATATACTAAGTGCACATCCCGGGCTTACATTTGAATACGCTTCATCCTGGGACTTTACAGTATATTAATGACAATGAAGAATTTGGGACTGCGGGGTATCCATTGGGACCTCCAGAGTTCCTTCTAAGAGTCCCTTGGCATTCCATCATCTGCGTTTCTGTGTAGTAGCCCTTTAGAAAAAAATCTTCTTGCTGAACAAGCTGAACCCCACAGCTTGAACCTCCAAATGAAAGAACATTCCAAGTGGCCCATGCACTCATGGATAAATACCATGAATAATGAGTTGTTCAGATTTTCCAACCCTCTCCATCGCCCGCACCCGGCAGGTCAGGGCACAATGCATTGTTCAGATATTAGATATGAATGAATGTACGCATGTATGTATGCATGTATCGAGTTTTGTGTATACACACATATATACACATATCATACATGCATGATATATTGACAATCCCCGCTGAGCTGAGGCCAGCACGGCGTGGGCGGCGCCGGAGCTTGGCCCACCGGCTCCGTAGGTGGACTTGTCAGACGGCCTTGAGAATTGAGAGACGATGCGCAAGAGTCGAGAAGCACTTATTTTGGTACACGATGCCTGTGCAAAAAGATGCACAGATCAGCGCCTGCAAACAGAAAGCAAGCCCGTCAAGCAGGTCTGCCCCCCCCCTTTTTCAACTTCTAGCTTCTGTGCTCCGCAACCACGTATCCCTAGGCCTAGTCTGTTCTGCGTTCCGGTGCCGTTTCGCAGAAGAGACTAATGAAGGGATCCCCATGAGCTTCTAGGGTAGTGAAGCGTTTGAACTTCTGGTGGCACAGCTGCTTCCCCTCCCCACCCCTTTCTGCTCAAATGACTCCTCTGCCGAGGGCCCAGAAGTTCAAAAATCAACTTGGGCCAGGGCTCACTGGCGCGTCCCTAGTTCATTCTGCGAAGTGGCCCTGGCTAGGCCAGAACGCAGAATAGACCCGAGGGCCAGGGGAATCCCCCCAGTCTATTCTGTGAAATGGTGCCGGGAGCCAGATTGCAAAGAGACTCCGGGATCGGATCCCCTAGTCTATTCTGTGATGGGCCAGAACGCAGAATTGAGTAGCATTTTTTTGGTGGCTAAACCCAGTAAGATTATACTCCTTATATAAATACTATACCCCAAAAGGAGGATAGAATCTTACTCTATAATGGGCACCATAGTATCCCCAAATAAAATACTACTCAATTAGAGTGTGGCCAGGGCTGACGAGGGATCCTGGGCCCTGGCCGGTCCAGAGCCTAGCATAGACTAGGGCCAAGGGATATACCCTATGATAATATAGTAGTTTCCATTTTTATTTTCCATTATCCCAATATATATCCCTATATAAACCCCTATATACCCCTTTATCCTAAATAGTAGTGGAATTCCTAGTTGACTGAGAAAATTGTCGATGTCTGAAAGCAATTGCCGTTGTCTGATCCTTGCCGTGGCTTGGAAGCTCGCCTTCGAGCAAAGCAAGAAAAAAGCAAGGCTAAGAGTCTACCAGTAGAAACAACAACACATAGAAACGGCAGCGACAATACCGTAGTAGTAGTCGCAATGTTCTAAAAGATGATGCTCTAACCATCACTCACTTGGGGGAAGTGTAGGTCTCTCAGGCTGATGCGCAGAGCTTGCTCTTGCTCTTTCTCCATTGCGTCCAACTGCCTGGCGATGTCCACCTAAAGCAACACTTCACACTTTGAGACTCAGCCCATACTATGATAGTGGACACCTGCTTAGACGCAGACCGTTGACGGAACGTTCTCTTCGGGTTGCGGCAGCCACATTGATTGCCTCAAATATCTGTGTTCAAGGCTCACACGCCATCTGCTGTGAAGAATTGAGCTTGCAGCATAGATTGTGCAAAGCGGGCCTGCCGTGGAGTGGCATCACTTCACCCAGCTGCATCTGTATGAAGCCGATAGTGGAGAGCAGTCACGAAGCTATGGCCAGTAGAACAACTAGTGATAGCATTTTGTAGGCTCGAACTTCCAACTTCAGCTCAATTCGTGATCATCACAATGACCTGTGCAGGCCTCTGCCTCTTCTTTGCCCTGTCCTCGCAAACAGTGGGCATGGTCCCAAAGATGAAAAAGGATCATTAAAAGTATCAAAAATGATAGAAGCTATAGGGGATCAAAAATGCCTGTGATTGATGGTGAATGAACATCTTGCCTATGGTAATAGAAGATGAATTTACAGCAACTTACGGAATTTTGGGTCGCATAGAAGCTGCAGATAGTGTAAATTGCAGCGTTTTGGGCCGGCTAGAAGCTGCAGGTAGCGTAAGTCGCAGCATGTTGGCTCGTGTAAAGGCTAATGTTGTAAATTGCAGCATTTTGGGTCGCGTGGAGGCTGCAAATACGGTGAGCTTATAACATTTGGAGCTTCTTACAGCTTGCAGATACTTTAAGTTGCAGCATGTGAAGCTCTTTCGAGCTTGCAAATGCTGCAAATTACAGCGCACCACCTCTGCATTTTCCAGTTTGCCGATGTATGTTGCAGATTACAGCATCCGAGGCTTTGCAAAGAACATGAACACTGCGAGCTGCAGCATTTAAAGAGATTTTCATTCGCACTGTTGGATGGCCTGAAATAAGCAACGGGTCGGGGGGAGTGCAGGCCTCATGGAACGCACAACCTCTGCTTTCTGCAAACACGGTGATGACATGATGCTTCTTTTTTATTTCAAACCTGGATGGCGTGGAAAAAGCAGGGGGGTTGGGGGCGCCGCTCCCCGCCCCCATTTGCAAACCAAGTCATCCGCACAACCTTTCCCTACTGCCATGGTGCAACCCCCCCGATTGCCAACAAAACAATCCGCACATTTTTCCTTTTCCTTTACTGCAAACATGCTGATGACGTGATGCGTCTTTTTGCCGCAAAAGCGGTCCTTCTTTCTTTCTTTCCCTTCTTGATTTGTCTCCATTGTCTTTTCTTTCTGTCTTCATTTCTTTCTGTTCCTTTTTACTATTCTTTCCTCCTTTCTCTTGTCTCGCGTCTTGTTCTGCAAGTTCGCTCTTTCTCTCGACTGGTTGGAAACCTGTCATTTGCAGCACCTCCATCAGACGCTAGCAGGAGGTGGGAGGCCCTGGGAGGCCTGGAGAGCCTAAATACTGCAGTTTGCAGCTATATTCTCAATTTGTTGATCCCTTAGCACTAAGAAGGGCTGTGAACCAAGACTGAGGATGCGGCGCCGCAAGTTGGGAATGACGAAGCGTCTTCCTGGAGGGCTTCTGAACCCTTGAGCAGGGATCTAAACAAGCCACGGATGCAGTTCGATCAGATCCATCTCAGCCTCCTGGCTCAGGATTCAATTTCTGGAAGCGGAACCTCGTGTGACCAACTGTCGCAGTGAGTCCCCGCAAGCCAAGGTAAAGTGTCTGTTTTCTAGCTGGGTCCAACCCTGTGTGCTGGGAATCTTGCATCATGGCTGGCAATCCAAGCAGCGTCGCCAAGCTCATTGCTATGATGACCTCGAACCGCCACAGCGACTCTTTGCTTCAAGGCCACATGGCAGCAGTCTACCAAGATCTGCTGTGCATGCACTTTCTGGTCTTTTGCGAGGCCGTGCGAGGCTCTCAGTTGCAACTATGAACAGAAGCCTTGAGAAGTCCAGGTCTGCACCCCTCATGCTTCGACGTCAGCTGACCGTTCAAATTAAGCCAGCTCAGCAGCTCACGGTCAAATCATTTGCAGCGGCTGCAGTTGGCCGCCTCTGCGGTGCGATTGCAGCCAAGACTCTTGTGGCAGAAGGCCCGCTTAGCTGAGGGAAGTCGCGCCTGCTATCTTCTCAAGCAGTCCATTCCTCCATGGGCCGTCCCTCCGAGATGGCCTTCCTGATGGCGGCTTGGATGTTTGCTTGAACTTCTCTACGCACTCTGTCAGCTCCAGCCTGCAATGCCTCAGCAGCTGCGCGGCCGGACAGACCTTCGGCTTCTGGACAACCTTCTCCTCTTTCGGGTCGCTCCATACCTTTCGGCTGCGGGATGAATGGCTTGGGAGGCTCCTCTCGACGAGGCTCACGATCACGGCGATCATCGCGGCGCTCCTCTCTGCGCTCCTCTCTGCAGTCATCCCGGCGGTCGTCTCGGCGGTCGTCTCGGCGGTCGTCTCGTCGGTCTCGGTCACGTGGCCGATCACCTCTGGCATCACCGCGGTCATCACGTCGATCAGTTCTTTCATCCCGACGATCGCGATCGAAGGCTCGGTCACGCGACCGATCACGTCGAGCATCATGACCTCTGTCACGTTCGCGCTGGTCTCGGCCCCGATCGGACCGATCGTTTCCCCGCTCCCTCGTGTCACCTCCTCGAGGCTCTGCCTTGTCACCTCGTTGTATTCGGTCAAGGTAGCTCCCAGCAGCTGGTCTGCCCGGGGGACCCAGCGGATCACCGTTTGCAAGCTTTTTGATCAGTAACATTGCTGTTGCCGATGGTTTCCCTGAGCACTCGAAATGCTTCTCCAAATCGTGATAGTATTCACCCTTCTTCTCTTCTGAACATCTGGCGAGAATATCCGCAATGTTGGTCTGAGCAATATCATCCAACCGGAACTTCTCTGCCAGGTGTTTCATCCGCTTGTCACGGTTCACAGCAACAAAGGTTCCTTCTTCAATCTCCTTCATCTTGACAACCAGCATCCCGCACCTGTCGGCACACCAGGGCAGAATGTACGCAGGATAGGATACACTCTTCAAGTGCCTGACTGTGATATCCCTGCATTTCTGTTCGCGCGTTCCACCAGTATATTGACATCCGCTCTGTTAAAAGCTTGTCGGATTCATGTCGCGGGTCTCTCAAATCCCGGTCTTATTCTTTTGACTTTTATGAAAGATGAGACATGCAACTCTGTAGTACAAGTAGCCTGTCGCCTGCAAAGAAAAATCTGCATAAAAGCAGGCAAAGGAGGAAGGATGGCTGGAAGAAAAGGGGATATTATAAGCCTACTGCAGAAGATGCCTATCATAAGCAAGTGTTGTGACAAGTTGTGTCAGGCTGCGGAGACCGTGCTTTTTCCATGATCTGCCGTAGCTTCTTGAGATCCTCATCCCAGGTGTCCAACCTCGCCAAAGCAGGATGAAGCATGATTAGAGTCCTGCTTCTGTTGAATCAATACACAGAATATGGAGGATTCATTCTGGGCTTTCTGTTGCAACTATTGCTTACGTACGGTTGACCCCAGGTAAGTACACACCTCAATCTACCAACCAGGCTCCCCCGACCACCCATGCCCCACCAGATAACGCGAAAGGAAGCCAGCAGTGGTAAGTACTTACTTATTAGAGTGGTTTCCAGTTTCTTTTCCATTATCCCAATATAACCACCCCATATCTACTTAAGGGGAAGGGGTCAGCAAAAAAGTCTCCGCAACAGGAACTGTCACGCCGAATTGCTGACCTTCCCTGTAAAACCTTGGAAAGACCATAGCTATAGTCCCCCTGAAGTGGATAGAATATGGGGTATATGGGGATCTCATTGTAATATACCCAAAGCCATATTCTATCTACTTAAGGGGGACGATAAACAAAACCCTACCTTTTTTTCCAAAGACAAAGCAACTCCTACCCTGAACTTACCACCGGCGTCTGCCCTCCTTCGGGCATTCCTTCTGAAAAGCTGCAAGTCTCATCCATGGTCGGGACTTCTACAAAACCCTACCCGAGAAGGTCTCCACCCCCTCACAGCAAGACTTACCTTTGGTAAGCTAGGAATGGAGGAATGGATCCTTATAGTAGTCCCAATAATACGTATATAAAACATTATTATCCTTTTTCGTTTCCATTCCTTCTAAACCCTAAATCCTACACCCTAAGCCTATATAACACAATTATAGTAGTTTGTATATTCTCTTCCATTCCTTCCATTCCCAGTTAACTAAATCTAACCTCTATATACCCGCAGTTTCCATTTCATTTTGCATGTTATTTTCCATGTTATCATCCATTCTTGGGGTAATATCCCTATATACCCCTTTAAAGGGACCTAGGGTTTCCATTTCATTTTCCATGTTCTTTTCCATTTGATTCTCCATTATTGGGGTACTGGTTGTAAGCAAGAGAAAGCAAGGCTCCGGTTCTTCATCAACTCATTCAGCTTCTCCACATGCCGCTGCTCAATGTAGAAGCCTGGCCAAGCCCTATACACCCCAAGATATACCCAATAATATATAGGTGGTTGTCAAAATTAGCATGGCCCCTTTTTTGGGCAGTGCCGTATTATACTAGGGACCCAAAAGGGACCATAATTTTGACAACTACCCATATACCCTGTTATAATAGTTTCCATTCTCAATGCAGAAGCCTGGCCACCAACAAATCATCCAAACCATTCAAGACCATAGTTCCCAAGGTTTAGGGTACCTAGGGTTTAAAGTTTAGGGAAGCATGGCCACAGAAATCATCAAAAAACCAAGCCCCACAAAGTGAGCCATACAATTCGTCATCGGTCGATTCTGAACTAGATGTATCGGCAGCATGGCTATCGCCGTAAACTTGTATGCCTTCGCAAAGGTCCGTGATGTCCGGATGGATCCGACCTCGCAAGCTGCCGTGTGACAAATACCGTCTTTCCCCTCGAGATATCTAAAAATGAGTCTCACTGTAGCACCATAACCCCAATATATAACCCCAATATATAACCCCAATATATAATCCCAATATATAACCCCAATATATAACCCCAATATATAACCCCAATATATAATCTCAATATATAACCCCAATATATAACCCCAATATATAACCCCAATATATAATCCCAGAATAGACTTGTTTAAGGGGGAGGAGCTAAGGGCCCCACCGTGCTCCGACACGTAGATCTTCTTGGGATCATACCCATCATTGTCAGTCTGAGATGGCTTCTGGCTCGCCTTCAAGAAAATGCTTCTGTCCCTTCCCGATCGCACCGATTAAAACACATGTCGCGAATCCCAACCTGGGCGGGCAAGTTTGCGGCTGGAGGCATAGCAAAGGCGGCAGGCAAACTTCCAGCCCCAGACATCTTTGGCCCTGGGACGGCCATCCCTGCAGTCCAGGGCTGACGACTTTGGGGCTATGGGGATGCAAAAATAAGGCTACGCAGGGATAGGATTTTGGGGTTCAGGATTAATAGTTAGGGAGCATCGCAAGGCGCTGCAAAGGAAATCTATGCTGCCTGCCTCCCATCAGATTCATCGCAGGCTTGCCCATAGCCGTCATTGACATAAGGTTTTGGAGCTGCGCAAATGCGCTCCTTAGCATCTGTCTGCGAAAAATGAAGGTTATCGGAGGACCTGTTTGAGCGGAAGCGATTGGCCTAGAATGCTTGCACCATAGCGCAAAAATGCGACCAAGTGGCTGAATATCATCCATACCGCCCATAGCACATCCTCCAATTCCTTCGCCACCTTCTGCACCGGCCTTCTTGCGGCCCATGGCGTCAAGCCTCGGCACATGAACCCGCTCCCAGAGAAGGCGTGGCTGCAAAGAACACAAACTTCATTGGGCCACCAAGTAGCTTCCCCTGCCCTCACGACGTGAGGATTGCCATCTGAATTGGATGAAGCGTTAGGAGCAACTCTCTTTTGGATTCCAAGTGCATGGGGCGATCTTACGTTACGAACTGCCAAAGCCGGGATGTCTGGCTGCTGCAACTCTTGGTCCAAATCAAGCTGAGCAAGCACCGAAAGCCGAATGTGCAAACTCCTGCATCCATTGCACTCAAACCTGGCATTCTGCAGGTGCCCAGCCCAAAGCGCAGGGCTGCGCGAGGAGGACTCCACAGCATCCGCAGGCTCTTCCTCTTGCAAGTCTTGCTGCCGAAAACTGGCACGGGCAGGTTTTCGCAAAGCTGCTGCACCTGCTGGCGCTTGAGATTTCGGCGCCTCAATATGTTTCACACTCCGAAGCTGACGGTGGCACGGGAAAGCTGCCCAAAGTCTAAGCTGCTGAGCCCTGTCTGCAAGCGTCCTCGCATTCCGGCCCGTCAGTCTGACCTGCGAGGTCCACAGTCTACACCTCTCAAGTTGCATCAAGCTTGGCAGAGCTGAGGCGCATGCTGATCTCAGTCGGGGCACGTTGTTGTGAACCATTGGGCCACCCATTCAGCTTCTTGGCACGTTTGCAGGGGCTCAAGTCCCTTTGAGCGTAAGGTTTGTCGCAGCTGATGGGCAACATTTATCGAGATCTGCTCAAAGTATTACTTGAGATGTCCTTACTATGCCTCTCGATCCCGAACGAGTCGTCTGACTGCCTGACATGGTGGTCCAACGTGTGCTTGATTCTACAAGGGGGGTTCGATTTCAACAGCTGATTGAACTACATCCAGCAAGTTTCTCACCAGCTCTCCACCAGCTCTCAATATCTTTTGTGCCACCGCCAGGTAAGGCCGCCCCTTCAGCTGCTAGTTGCTGGACATTGATGTCTCCTCCTGGCTGTATTTCCAGGGGACACCATGCAAACCTGGAGTTATGCTTGCCGGTTTCGGCCTTGAAGACTTGTTTGAAGCCTGCTGGACAGGAGCAGTGGCTACAGCTTCTACAGTGGTGAAAGACTTAATCCTGGATTTCCCCAGGGATTGCACCAACACCTCGTCATTCGCCGGCATTGCCGAAAGAAGGTGGGTCATCGGTGCAGAGAGCAGAAGTTCTTCCAGGTCTGTGATGTATTCGCCAGTCCACCGGCGGGCGCCTAAAGCAACCTCCAGCTCAAAGGGAGTGCAAATAGGCACCATGAGATCTTGAACATCCCACGTGAACTGTTCAGGGCCGGATAGAAGTACATAGCACTCTACTTCGGGGAAGTTGCCCAGCTTCTCTTGGGTTGGCTGGCCTACGACGAACCTGTAGTGGTTGCGTCCATTTTTTGTCAGCAGGGTCTCCAGGCGCTGTGCCAATGTACGTCCTAAGGTGGTAGGACCGCCCGCGGCGACGAGCAGTATGCCGACAGTTGCAGCGCTTTTCGCTGCTTCGACATATCGATACCTCTTCTGCAGCAGGCTGTGACTGAGGATTCTGTCTAGCTGTAGAGACCCATCATGGAGGTTGATGTTTTCTCCCTGGCCGGAAAATCGCCAGATCGGGCAAACAGCTCCAAAACGGAGAAGCACACACCTCTCAAGAGTTGATGCGGCTTGACCCACATAGAGGATCGCGGAGTCCTCTGGCAAGGTCCTCTCCCGGCAGATCTCTGGGTCGCTATCAGCCGTGAAAATGCGCACCGGGCGCCCACATGCTTTGAGCTGAGCTGGCCGAGCAGCTGCTGCAAGAGCTAAGGTGCCAAGGCCAGCCCACCAGCTGGAGACGAAGTCCACAACACCCCAGCGCCAGTCGTGCCACCTGGGTAAGATGTCGCCTGCTGAAGCTTCATCACTTAGCTCAGCTAGCAGAATCTTCCAAGACTGCCTCCCTGCAAGGGCCAGCTCTTGCAACATTGCTTTGGCAAGAGGGCCTGCTGCATGTTGGTAAGGCAGGTCGCAGATCACCAGTAAGTGGGAAACGTCCTTAGGAAATTGGGGGTGCCAGCTACAACAGAGCCGTGCACCGGTCCCCAACCTTTCAAACAAAGCACACACACGTACCAAGCGTGCCCACAACTTTTGCTGAAAGAATTGCAAGATGCAGTGCTGGACTGGTTCGCCACTGCGGAAGAGATCGTGTGTGCAATAGTGGCAATTTGCGAAGAGGACTCCAAATCCTTCTCCTCCCCGAAGACAAACAAAACAGGCAGATCGCCGCCTCGCTGTTGCTCGGCATGCCCGAAACGGACGATGCAGTCTGCACCATAATGCAGCGCTCCCACTTCATCCACCCCACCCCCACCAAAGGAAGAGTCGCCCAAAATGAATATCCGCTTCTCAGGTAGCGCCTGCTGCACCTTGCTAGTCAGTTCAGGAGCTTCTGAAAGCATCGCATCTGGAAACTGCAAAGCTATTCGTTCGAAGCCATGCTCCTTGACCCAGTCCACTATTCTCTCTACCTGAGAGATCATGAGGCCCTTCAGTCACTTTGCAGCCATCGCATTGAAGCCACACTTTGGGAACGCCAAGCTGTTGTTTCTTGATGCACGCCGTATGGCCTCTACGTAGCTCAATCCAGACATGTTTTACTCATTGACCTGCCCTGCAGCTAGTTGTCCGTGTCAGATGCTCTGAGCAGACTACCCACGCAGGAAATCTAGGTCCAGTGAATCGCAAACACTCAGCGCGCACGAATGAATGACGACATCACGTGCTCTTTTCATCGCAAAAGAAGTTAGACTTGAACACTGAGAGGCCCAGACCAGCATTCCTTCGAGGCGTGCCGATATAAGCCAAGCCATCTGAGTGAGGATGTCCGTCGTGGTTGAGTCTGGGCTTCTGGCTGTTTCAAACCAATGGGAACTGGCATGTGCATCGCACATGTGTTCCATGATAGGCTTTCTGTGTGTGAAACTCGTTGGCCCTCATCGGGCGGTGAAGTATTCAAAGATACAGGCCACAGCCTGAAAGTGTACGTGCAATAGCTCCCTACGTGCCTCAACGCAGCTCAGGGACGGTTTATTGGAACATCCCTCTGCCGGGCATTGAACAACAAGCTGGAGAACCCATCTGCCAAGCAGTGCCGCTCTACTCACAATATCCTGCAGTCGCATTGCAGCATGGAATGTCTGAAAACGCAAAATGGGTGCCTTCGGCTGTTGCACAGGTGCAGAAAACTGAATTCTGATGCTCATTGGGGCATGGTTCTGCTGTTAGCTGCAAGCATGGCGCACTTCTATAGCTCCACACCCCTGAACCACAAATACACCTGCCATCACTCTGCCATCAGCTTGTGCTAATACTACCACCTTCCATCAAGCTGTTCAAGTGCCAATTTTTTCGGCCTTGGGGCCTTGCCCGTGCCCGTTCATCGAGACTTCCCTCCCTTGCTGGACTTGCCTGCGCAACTCGCATTCTTCATCATTGTTTGGGAACATGCTGGGATTCTGCGTGGCTATGCAGGGATTACCTTATACAGTTGCCAGGGGAGTAGGGATCATGCACCACGTCAGCGTCAACACAGCCCTACACGGCCTTTGCCCTTCTTGCCTTTGCTCTTTCCTTTGCCCTTGCCTTTGCCTTTTCCCTTGCCTTTTGTTCCATCCCCTTTGGCTCGGCCTGCTTCAACAGTTTGCTTAATCACTCGCATCCACTTAGCTCCTTGACAAACAGTGGGCCTACACCATGGCAGCTAGCACAGCTTTCCATCACACGGCCTCCGCCCATTTTGGACAGTCTCCTTCTTTGCTCCTCTCCGTGCTAGATATTGGCAAGCTGGTCTTTAAAACAGAAATTCTCAGACCAGGTGGCAAGCAGAAGAGGACGTGAGAAATGCGAAGGTGAAGATGATCGAGAACATCCGAGATCACATGAAGCCTGCATCTTGCAGTTACGATTGCGGGGTCCTCCTGATCAAAGGCAGAGCGGCCCTCGAATGCTACCTGCCGAACAAAAGCGACTTCAGAGCTGCAGCGCTTGCTGACAGCTTGCCATGCGCCCTCTTGCAACGGCACACGGAATGTTGCATACTGGCTCTCGGCACCTTTGCTTTTCTAGCCTTGTGCTTCTTCTTTCCCACCTGAGCACGCAAGCGAACGAATGCACTATGTAGCTAAGACGACGAAGGATGAGCGGCGCGCGTCATACTCCCTATCAAGCTCGTCTCGGCGCTGCGGGAGCGGCTGCAGCTTTTCCTGGACCTGAGTCAAGTCAGACGAGGCTTTAGCTTTGAGTCACCCAGTCACACTGTATTGGGCGCACATAACAACGTGTGAGCTACCTATGTTACCTTGAGACGCGCACTTCTTGGAAAGCCACTTTCTGCTGCTCTGTCAGGTCTTGTTCGTCCCACTTGTCAACCTGCGCATGGCACCCGCAGCTGGCAGGCTCGCAGATTCTTAGCCATTCTAAGCTTCCTGCCAAGTCAAGTCAAGCAGTGCTTGCAAATAGGGTTTCGGGTTCAAGTCATACATACATCTTTGGAGGTCATGCTGACTACCGATAGCAGGCCTGCGCTTGACCGTATTGAGTAGTGTAATCCATGGACATCGCCACCTGGGCCGCAACAGCTAAAGTCACCACTTCACAACAGAATAGCTCCAACAGGCCAGGCACCCTTTCCGACACGTCTTGCTGGACAACTTTTGCCCTTTTTCGTGGTGGAGACCTCGGCGCGACGTGGGGGATGACATCGACAAATGAATGACACTTGCCTTGGGCCCTCAGGACTCTAAGCTGTCTGCTGGGCAATCTCCTGGCTCTTGCCTTAGGCCACGTACAGGAAATCCGGTTGCTCTGCAATCCCAGACCGCCCTAAAGTATCCCAAACCTGGAACTTTCCCCAATGTAGTATTGGGTTCATATTGGGGGGGTTCCATTCTTTGGATCCTTTAGGGAGCAAGGTCTGAGCAACTGGGGCCCCAGCTCTCTGATTGTGAGCTCAGCTGCTCCGTGCGCAGAAGGCTCAAGTAGGCCTTGCCGCAACTGAAGTCCCTATAGCCTACTATAACATAATGTTGTACTATAAAATACTATACTATAATGTATTATGATATATAAACTATATTATACTGCAATATACTATATTATACTATCGTACACCATAATATACATAGTATACTCAAGCATATTATATCGTACTACAATAACTTGTATACTATAATATTCTGCTATATTATGCTACAATCTGCTATGTTATACTAAAATATACTATACTATAATACACTATATTATACCATCGTGCGGCTCTGTGTGCAGCGTGCCTGAAACTCACGCAAGCGATTCAAACGATGCAAGCGGGACCTTGGCACGACACCAGTGTCTCAGGCGCATGAAATGGGAAGGAGATGGCCTTCTGCCCAGGCTTTTTGGAACCTTTGCAAGCTCCTTCGAGGACTTCTCGCCATTGACCTGCATGCAGACGGCAGCTACCACAACAAATGCTGAGAGGACACAGCCTCCGGGAGCTTTCTCTTTGCCGTGCTGCTGTGTGCGGCGTGGTCGGGAACTTTGGACCTGAGCTCAGGTATACGTTGGGGACCGAATCCACAAAAGCTTCTCCTTCAGAAGGCTAAGATGAGCACGTTTTTAAATGCAACTCCTCCACGTGTGTCCCTGTCAGACTGTCGCTCCCCAAAAGTTGAAGCAAGAATGATGTTCCATCTGCTAAAGGCCGAGCAGCCATTGTGCTTCACAACGCCATTCACTTTGCCGTTGATGTGTGCCTGAGCTGCCATGAGACACCCCTGGGCTGGTCCTTACATGTGCTGAATATACTATAATGATTTCCATTTTCTTTTCCATTATCCCTATATTATACTACCCAATAAACTATAGTGGTTTCAATTTTCTTTTCCATTATAACCCCTACATATACCCTATATAACCCCTATATAACCCAGTATAGTGGTTTCCATTTTCTTTTCCATTTTCCCCATATTATACTACCCAATATTATTGCAATTAGCACAAGTCAATGCTAATCGGACGAGGCAGATCTGGGCTCTTGCTTCTTTGGGTGGTTGTCAAAATTATGGTCCCTTTTTGGGTACCCAAAATATTAGGTGTCGTATTATAATAGGGACCCAAAAAGGGACCACAATTTTGACAACCACCCCTTTTGCATTCTGGTTACCTCCCTTTGCAATCTGTCGGAAGCGCTTGGAACTCTTAGGCCATCTGAGGCCAGCACTGCAACGGATGGCGTGTGGTCAGCTTTGACACCGTTAATGGCCTTGAAAGGCACCAACTTTCAGGTTGATGTTAACGTCTACTTGGAAGCTGTAGCAGGGGCCTTCTGCATCGTCTCTGCCACTTGTGCAAGTGACGCCGGCGTCTTCACAGCCTTTTGTGCCTGTTCCTTGGCTCCCGGGTGCTGTCGCAAGCTTCTCAGGAAAGCCCTCTGGGTCTAGCACCGACTGGTACAGGAGCAGGTAGGCCTCAAGAACGCCGACTCTCATTCAGAAGCATCGTCAGACAAGCCTTTGCTGCGCGTCACACATGGTACCCTCAGTAGTACTTGTCAAGTACTCATGTGCTTTGATGTTGTCGTAGGTAGAGTCTGCTCTACAGTAATTATCCATGAGATCATTGTTATGTATAGCCCCCCTTAAGTATATAGAATATGGCTTTGGGTATAATCAGATCCCCATATACCCCATATTCTATCTACTTAAGGGGGACTATATTGTTGTCATATGTTATCATCACACTCTTCTGACGGGGGCCTCCTGTTTCAGCACTTCCGGCTCTCCGACGGTCCGGACGGTCTGGCCAAGCTGTATCATAGCAACGTGCACCTGAGAGCCTCGATCCCCTTTTTTCTGAAACCTTTTCTGAACCCGGATATGGTATGTTATACCATATTTTACTATAATAATATACTATATTATACTACAATCTACTATCTTTATACAGAAAGAGACTTGCTTGGTACCATCTGCACACTTGTTGAACAATTTCATACGCCCAGTATGGCTTGTGCCTCATCATTGAAGCAGTGCCACGTGCTGTTGTGCTTGGCCTTGGAGAGTCTTCAACTCGCATACTCAAAAGCACCTGCGGGAAGAAGAGTCTGTGCACTGGGCAAAGGCGATGTAGTGTCCGCTTTTGGCGGACTGCCCACCTAAGCAGCGGCAAACACGAGCCTGCGACTCAACTTGCAAATTTACATACCCTTTTTTCCTTTGCTACGGATGATTTGCCTTACAAATTAAAATCCTGACAAAGTTTCATCACTTGCTGAACCACTCTTTCTTTGCCTTAGTGCATGCAGGCGAGGCACAATGAACTACGACTCCATACAACCGATAGCGAGCCTGCGGAAGAAGCAAATATCTGCTGCTGGTCATACCATATCAATGATGTCCAGCATGACTTGCAAAGGCTGCATGTTCGGAGTGCATCCTGCCTGACGCTCTGGGTGGCTTGTGAAACGCGCCACGTCCAGAGACCTCATAAGACAGAACTCAGAAAGGTAGTGATTTTTTGGAAGAGCAGGGAAAGCATAGCGTCATTCCAAGCCATGCCATACCTGTTGCTATGGCTCGGAAACCTTTAGGCTCACCACATCGGGAATTTCACATGCTTCTTCAGCTTTCCTTGGCTGGCGAAGCTTCCGAACTCCCACAGCTCACCGTTCTTCGAATGGCTCGCAGTCCATCCGTGCAACTCAGATTCCCCGCAGCCCGTGGAAGAAGTCGAAGCGTTTCAGCTGAAAAGTCAGCAATGGAGGAGTGGAATGGATGGAAAACCTGCATCGCTAATCAGCCATGCCAACTGAGTGCAGCAGTTCAGTGGTGAAACGCTTGCGCACCCATGGTGCCTTTTGGTGGCATCCACCTTCTGATCACATTTCTTGCACATGTACTTGTTGGCGCCCGAGAGGGTTTCACCTGGCAGAGCAAAGTCTGGCACCGTCATGGCCATGGCGATGTGGTAGTTTCCCAAAATTAGGGTTCCCTAACTTATACCTAATATAGGGACCCCCAAAATGGTACCCCTAATTTTGGGAAACCCCCATGTCTCTTTAAAGCTTGGCGAGCCGCTGCGCGTGAAACCTTCCAAGGCCTTCTCAAGAGTATTTGCATTCTGGACCTGCGCCGCTCGGCCGTTCGACAGATTTCCAGCATGAACATGTACAGCCTCCAAACTGATGTCCATGTAGGGGTCGAAGGTATTGGACCTTTTCTGAGACATCGCGCAGAAAGTAATGCAGCTGCCAGGTCTCAAAGTACCCGGCGGGTGTTTGCACCTCTTGCAAAGCACCTGCCCGATACTAGCGCATGAAGGCTGCTCCAGAGTGGCTCTGCACATGTCATGCTCATCGAGCCCTGCGACCCTGCCTGTGACCGCAAATGGCCGCCGAACAGTTGGCCGATCACTGTGGTTTGTTGAACCTATCAGCAGGTCATTGCTGAAACTGCACAAAACAATTGAGCACTGCCAAGTGAGTTCCCGGCGGATCGCGAGACAGATGCGTCCGCAGTAGCATGCTTCAAGAAGGACTTGTGACACCTGTCGGGGGGCCAGTGGAAAACACAACACCAAAGACCTAAGCTCTTCCAAAAAGACGTTCGGCTAAGTACACCAAGGCACGAATCCAAAAAATGAATCAAGAATTCATGCGCATCCTCCTGTCGCCCTCTGGAGTGAAACCTCCTGGCGATCTGTGGCAGGTGGCGAAGCAGATCCAGCGGCTTGAACGCCCCCTTCTGGGCGTCAAAAACCGAAAGCACATGTTGCTCAAACAAGCATAATGTGCACACAGTTCCATGCTGCTTAGCCATGCAGCTTGTGGAGTGCTCCTTTGTCAGAAAATACTTTTGCAGAGGCACCGCATATGTCAGTGCTTGCAGAACGCTGTTAAAGTAGCAGGTGTTTCCCAAGTTTTGAAGACCGCGGCCAACTCTTCGCGGGCTTGTCTCACCAAATAGCTTGCGCAATCTATCTGGTGGGTACAGAAAATATTCTGGCTCTGGAGGCTCATCGTCTTCGTTCCGAGCTTTGGCTTTCGCTTCCTGCGAGCCGCTCAACGCTTGAGCTTTGACGAACTCGATCACCCTTGGCAGGAACGGCTTCTCCGTGGCGAGTCCATTCGCAGTGACGGTTAGGCCATTTAAAGCCATGGCTGGAAGGCTAAGGACCTCCAATTACCATCAAGCATGAGTACGAAAACCTGGGTCTAAGTGTGTTTTTCTTTTTGACATCTCTCTCCCTGGTGTCTGCATTGTCAGGGAGACCTCGGGTGACTTCAGGCATGTTGGAATAAGTCAAGAGCAAGGATGCTTCTGTGAGCTCTGGGTTGCCGGGAGACAGAGCCGATGTCGTGGGCCAGGAGTGGAGATCAACTTAACAAATCAGGTATTTCCCACTTTCCTACTTAAACGGTCGCTTGCAAGATGTGCCTTCGTTCCCTGTCTATCGCGCCACCAGTCTTGCAAGAGTAGTAAGGATGATAAGTAATCGGGACTGGGGCAGCACCTGATCCAACAATGTCGTATGTTGAGGGACTTTGGGATCGCGAAGGGCATAAGAAACTACTGAAAGGGTCCAGGTTAGCTACCTACGCTCAAATACTGACCGCTGACAGGCAGGGCCTAGACTCCCAGCAAGACGAAGCCATCAAGGTCTTCTACAAAATTCATGGACGACGCACCGGGGATGAAGTTGCTAAGTTGTGCCTTAAAATCCAAGCGATGCCAGCGACGCCCCAGGCTGAGAACGCACAAGCCCGTCCAGACTTTCGTATGGACATATGTAGACTTCAAGTTGCTTTAGAAGTTTAGGTCCCCTGTGTTCGCTGCCCTGAAAGTCTGCCACATGTTGAAAATACCCGATGAAATTGCACCAGGACATACCAAGACACTCATCAAATGGAACATACTTCAGTCACACTTTCAATTTCCCTGGCTAGCAATAATAATTGTATGCGTAGCACTGGCCACAGCTTTGTGCATCTTTTGCCCGTTTGCTTCAATATGAGCCGGCGACTGGTTCTCCAAAGGAAAGACATGCAGCGCATCTTCAGGATGGCGGCCTGTTGATCCTGGCCCACAGACCGTGTCACACCGTTGCTAAAACATCCTCTGCATCTGTTGGGCAGTAGCTGCCGTCCTCAACACTTGAAGCGCTCCTAGCTAAATGGCCACTAAAACAATGACGTGTCTCTGGATTTGTCTCAGAGCCTCCGCAGCACACTTGCTTTTGTAGTCATACCGTTTTGGGCGCACATCCCTGATGCAATAGCTACAGAACTGTCAATGTAAGCACAGAAGTGTACCATGCGGACTGTCAACACCGAGAAGCTGTGACACACCAGCTGGGATGTGGCCTTTCCCCAGCCAGAACTAGGCAGGAACAACATCAGCAGGGAAGCAGGGGGAATGGAAATTACAAGAAATGGCCCTGCCTTCTACAGGGCGTGGTCTGCCTACCCACGTGGCACTTCTTAGTTACTGAAGTCGCGTGTTTGTCTTCCGCTGGTGGTTCCTCTGTGATGAGAATAAGGGAAGATGGAATCACTCCATTGGCCCTCCACAGGAGAGCCAACGAGGTGAATGCCAAGCCTTCCCATTAGAGCTACCTGCAGCGAATTATGGCACACACAACCAAGACCTCATCGGTGAAGTAGCAGCGGTCCGCGCTTCACCGGAGGTATATGGATTTTCTGCACCGTTCGACAACCTTTTGCTCGACACTGAGAGCATGGGTAAATGTGTGCTTGCGCTATGCTGCCAAGCACTGGTGTAAGACTGTCCTTGAGGCTCTGACTTTCCTAAGAGGCTGTTGATGTGTTGCCCACGTTTAACGCTTCATGAGGTTCATGTAGTCATGTCATGTCTCTCTCTTCCCGGCGGCAGTCTCAAAATAGATGATGTGAGGCGCATCTCTGCAACGTGTTGTTGCTACTGCGAATTTAGCGTCCAAGCCAGATCACTCCTTTCGTAGCGGTGCTGCATTCCCCTAAGACGTACCTGGGCTGCGAAGCAGATGCTTGCTCGCACAAAAGCTCACATGCAGCAAAATAAAAGATAGCAAGAGATATGAGCGACATGTCAAAGCAGCAGATCTAAGCAAGTTTACATTGCAGCATCCATGGAGCTCCTATTCTTATTTTGCAATGCAACTCCCATGGATGCATACAAGACACCAGCTGCTTCATGACCATTGCAGCGCTCCTGCCCATGGACGTCACCATCTCTTGGAGGCTGCTCTTCTGCGCTTCTGTTTTAAAGCTGGTGTCGCCCATGAAGATCTGCAGGCCCACAAGGTGAAAGGGCTCCTGGAGCACTCGTGGTATCTGGCCGGAGGGCACCAGGCCAGCGGGGGAGCCCAAGCCAAAGCCTTTCCTCCAAAGCGCCAAGTTGACGAAGACTGCTCCAAGGCTCTGCCAAGCCCCATGCGCGTGGGCCCTCTGCGCCTTCCAAAACAGAGGCAGGGCTCCTTAGGCTGAGACAGAAAAATCATCAACGGATCTGATCCACCTGGGATCAACTTAAAAGAGAAGCCCTGATATCTATAATGACAACTGCGCCGACGACCACTGCCAATTACAATGGCAACAGCGATCGCTATTGGTTTTGTTCCTGATGGCGCTTCTGTATTCGCGTTCTTTTTAAATCATCCGAGTGTCCTTTGCACGGTGGCAGTTGTTATCATGCAGCATGCAGCCCACAAATGGCTCTTACTTGCCCTATCACGATTCCCCAGGCCCTTTCTGCAAGCCCCAGGCTCTGTCTGCTTCTCGCTCAGAAAGGAGGAGCAGCTCCCCGGACGGGAAGGCGATCAGGGCATCCACAGGGCGCAAGTAGTCGTCAAGGGAAGTTGCCTCCTGCAGAGTTGGTGGGCCTGGGGTAAGGTAGCTGGAAAGAGTACTACTTAAGGGCCTGCCACAGGGGCTTTTGACAACAACATCTCCTTGACAGCTTGGCTGAAGTTTCGGGTGCACATCACCTTGAAGTTCGGCCAGGCTTGCTTGTGGACCTTGAGACTGGAGGTAGCGCCAAACAAGTCTCCGATGCCTGACAGCTTCATGGCCTGGATAGGCAAAGCAGAGATGCTGGTGGCTTGTGGGAGGCCCTCCATCTCCCAATCCTGCTCAGCACGGGCGGTCATCCTTGGAACCTGACGCTCGACCTCCTTCTCAACTTCTCTCTCGACCTCGAGCTCGCGCTCGTACCTCGGAGTAGATTCCAAGTTGTCACCAAGCACTGAGCCAAGCAGGCAACGTAATGTTGGGCAGTGCTTTTTGATGGGGCTCGGAATAGGCGACCTTTCGGCCAAACGAAATAACAATACAGGCCACGGAACATTCCCGTAAGGAAGAATCAAACAAATAGGGCAGACGGAATGGTGGCATGTTCGGAATTACAAACCCAAGAGTCCCGACTTTTGAGTTCCTGCAGGACCCCCCCCGAACAACTTCTCCCAAAATTGATTGGGGCCTTGTTATTTAGAATCCTTTTGATTGGGGTGGTGATAATCAGCACCCCATCTGAGCTCCCTTTTTAAACCAACGTACTTGTAGTCGAGCCTAGCGGCTCTTCGTCCAGCACGCTGGCGGCCACTTTCACCCCTTCTCCATACTGTTGAGCCCGACACTGAATTTGCGCCATCATGTCGTGGTCTGTGCCAGAAAGGCTGCCAGCCGCTCTCATGAGCATGTCAGGGTTGCTATTGTTGCTTCTCGATACCTGCTGAGACTTGAGGTGTCCGCTGAACGGACTTACACCATTTAAGCTGCCAACAAGCTAATGATAGTTGACACTGCTCTGACAAAACCAACGCCAGTGGAGCTCTGGTGACAGCTAGGACTTGCTTGGTCACTCTCTTTTGGACTTGTTTGTTGCACGCATTGGCTTGATAATCTTTATTGATCAGGCACATCACCAAAATAACTCTTGTCTGCAAGTCCCATTGAGCCCCATTGCACTACCAAGCATCTGTTGGCAGCGTCGCACCTCGCTCCGGACAACTTCTGACACCTCCTTGGGCACCTGGGCCACAGGATGGGTTGTCCTAAATGATCAGTAACAAAGGGGACAGCGGTCTCATGAAAATGTGGGCTTCATTTTGCCCTGAAGCGCGGCATCTTGGATACTTGTGTTCGCCTTGGCAACACCTTGAGCTGAAAATCCGAATCAGCCGCTGCAAAGGCGTGCGAAACATGGAACAGCAGGGCATTTTTCTATGAGCTTCGGACCCAATCAATACCCATACAAGTGCACAAACTGGACTGATCACAGGTTAAAAATACCTGGGTCATCTCTCACTATAGAGATCTCAGATCACGCGCCAACAAAATCCTTCACTTCCAGAAATCCCCGCTTACTGGAGGTTGAGTATTTGCCTCTGAGGCCAACTTTAAGCCCGGCTAAGGAACCAATGGCTCCTTGTAGAAGCTGCTGAGCTCCACGTTCTCATCCAGCACGGCCAGCTGAGGCGCTCCGCGCGTGGAGCTGAACAGCAGTCCCTGCTTCGCCTTGCCAAGGTATTGGGTTCATGGGGTTTACGCTGTAAACACACAATTAATCTGTGTTTATATTCAGGGTACCTTCGAAGTTTGGAATGTCTGCAGCCTGGTTGACATCCCTAAGATTGAAAGTTACCAGAGCCAAGAAGAACAGCCAAGTAACGCGGGCAGAAACAGTCAGGAAAATAAAGCAAACCGCTGCAGCCTTGCACGTGCGAGTAGCAGAATCAACTCAAACTTGCCCAAGGAAGGCTCGGCGGAATGCTGCGCAAGGAAAAGTAAGGGTAACAAATAAACTTTTCTTTGCGAGGCCTATGCCAGACGCTATCTGGTGCAAGTCGCCCATTCTGGCAAAGCTTCTTCCGCAGCGGCGACCTCCAGTTGCAAGCCACGCACGCATGCAACTGCTGCACGCCTTACAGGGTGTTCCTATTGCAGGAGTCTCTGGGAAGGGCACCACCTGGCTCACATCACTCTATCAATTCTGAATCCTGAGCTCTGCTACAAGTATGACCAACAGCACGGCAAGTTCTTTTTAATCACTGGCTCAGTTCGAACACGTTTCTTTCGAAGCTGTCACAACACCTTTGACTTTCTGGCCCATTTTTCTTGATGGCTTCTAGGTTCAGTGCCCGAATGGCTTGCCTCAGCAGTTCTAAGTCCGGATATCCACAGGGAGACCTTGAGTTGTTGAGAACTCGCATGGTTCTACTGCACTGTGGCATACTGTGCAGCCGACCTTGGCAGTAACAACAACACTGATGACGACAACGCTTCTAGTGCAGTCTCATGTCTTCTTTGCAAGCCAGCCGCGGTGTTTGCCATGACCCACTCGAGAAGGTGCAGCGAAGTTAGCTGAGGCGTCTCCTTGGCATGATTTGGCATCTGTTTCAGATATCCTGGTGCAGGTGTTGAGTGCTGAGAGCCAAACATCTCGAAGCTGCCGGCGAGTCTTGCCCTTCTGGTGTCCTTTCCCTTCGTTCTGCTCCTGCTTCTTCATCTCGTGGATCTTTCTAGTCACCTTAGGCTCCGTCTCCCAAGACGTGCACGCCGGCTCACAACAAATCACCTGGTAGGTAGGGCAGCTAGGGCCTCCAGGGTGTCTGTAGGGCAGGACGCAGTGACCTTTTGTACGGCCCTAGTCTTTTGTCATGCGAACGCCTGATCTGCCTCAACAGGACCTCAACGCTCCCGTGACCTCCAAGTCCCAATCCAAAGCAAAGTCAGGACTAAAGCAGGCACGGCACTTCAGGTGAGCCTAGGAATTCCAACGTCTGACCTCAGCTGCTCTTGGGGTGTCAAAATGCTGCTTCCGCTCGCTCTCACCATCTTGCTGGAAAATGGATCTCCAGGCCTCAGCCTTAAGCCTGAAATCCATAAATTCCATCAAAAAAGATCGCATTCGCTTCGCTCAAGTCACGCCCTTATCTGGAGACATGGGCCTACGAGTAACTGCCTTACCCTGCCAGCAACACATGCAAAGCCCCTCAAACACCGAGCATGGACTCTGCCAAGCAACCCTTACCCAGCAGGCGCATCCGCCCTATTGCTTGCATGAGCTTGTCCTTGCCGCACTTCAGGCCAACAGTGACCTGAAGCAAATGTTGATTGGAATCAGAGATTGTCTTTTCCTTAGGGCTTACAGACTAGTTCCGTTTTGGGTGTCAAGGCTTTTCATCTATATACCCCTGTATGTGCCACAGTCCAAACCTCATGGCTGAGGGCGTCAGTGCTCCCAATTCACTGATGAGGCTCATCGTTCTGGCTGGCACAGTTTGAATCGCAGCGCCATGACAGTGCTGGAGATTTTCCTTCACCCATGAAAGCTTACTGGGGCGCAGGGAATAAGCGAATATATTGTGTAGGGATTATGTAGGGGTTGTATTGCCTTATTCCCCATTAAGCCCCAGTAAGAAAGTGCTGCCAGGCTGCCATGGCCCTTGCATCTTTCGCAAGCTTCAGATCGGCACCCCGAGATCTAGCTTCGTCAAAGAACGCAAAGCACTCCTGGGCCGATCTGGATGCGTTTCACAAACAGCCAGCAGGAAGGGAGGTTTTGAACCGTATCCTCTTCCCGAATTCTGGCGTTAGAGAAGGTGCTGACTTATGAGGCCTGAGGCTAAGCACGCTGACATGCTTTTTAGCACCGACAGGAACTGGAATCTGAAGCTTCCTTGGCCACTGAATGTACCTAAAAGCCAGCAAAGATTTCAGAATCATGCACCTGTCCACTGCGCCGAGCTTCATGTTCTCGAACCGGCGACCTCTTCCTGGGGAGGCATCTCCCATGATGATCCGCAATGATCCAGTCCTGGACTCAAGCTGTGCGAGTTCAAACTGCATCTCAGCCATGTGGATGCCAAGTCATGCCTGTTGCCTGGGCAGTAACAATGCGGTAAGAGCAGGTGCTAGGTCAATTGCAGGTTCTTAATCAACGACTTGCCATTGGTTGGGGCATGACTTCGTCCAGGGGCCTTCTTGGTGGCATCAAAGTAAATGACTCCGCGGAATTGGATGCCTGAGACTGTGAACACTGCACAAGTCATGCGAAGATCCGGGGCAAGGTATGCGCTGAGCAGGCATATTATATATATATATTATATTATATTAAAATATATATTATATTTATGGGGCCTGCTGTCAAGCGCAGGATCTCGGAGGCGATGTCTGCGTTGCACGCCCCAGCCGTGAGGGCGCCGCAGTCAATGAGGGCGTGTACTCCTCGAAGCCGGAATCACAACAGGAGTGAGCAGCAATAACCCTATCCCCATAATATTAAACCCCCCACCCCCCCTACAGTAATATTAAATACTCCCAATGTACTATAATATACCACCGTGGGGGGTAGTTGGTATTAGGGGGGTGGGCAGTTTGATATTAGGGGGAGAGGGTTCGTGACAATAGAAGCAGCAGTCGTCGTAGGAGTGGTCGCTGCAGCAACAAAAGCAATCTCCAGGCCCGGGAGGTGGTGAGCTCTGTTTGTGGGGCTTGTGTGCTGGGTTTTGACACGAAGCGTCTGGATGTAGAAAGGCAGCATTCTCTTCCAGCAAACATGTGGATTTGCTTCTAACGTCCAACAATACGAAGTCTCCACATGCGCTCACAAGCCTTCAAGAACGCGAAGTCTCAACAACCCTAGACAGCATGACTATATAATATGCTGCAAGCAATAGTCAATTGCCATAACCAGCCATCGCATTGAACAAGGATACCACTCGGGCAGCTCAGCTCCCCAGAAGACAACGTTCCGAAGAATCATCAAAAAGGTACTTGTACTGGCTTCCCTGAAGAAGGACCCCAAAGGTGGCATCCCTCCGATTGCGGGGGGGCTCCTCGCTCAACAGCAATCTGCACCACCCTTTGCCAGCAAGGCTTAGAGTCGGGACCGTCTGGCTCACCTGCTTCAGTAGCTCAACCCTTACCGTAGGAGTTAGTCAGGGATGGGTACTAAGATCTGGCGCAGAGTGATCTGCCCGATCTTGAGGACAAGAAGAGCTTTGCAGCCGATCAGTTCTAGGCCCAAACTACACGCTACCAAGTCCACCTGCAAGATGGGAGAAGACAGGGTTATCCAAGATCATCTTGACCATCTTGCCGTTGGTTCCCGCCAGGTGGGGCAAATTCCTGTGCGAGAACTTGGCTAATACTCATGCACCTTCTGCCAGCCTTGCACTCGAAGGACCCGTCAAATCACAATTTATACAATCTTATGACATGCCCTAATCTGTGAGGAAGTGGCGATAGCTGACTTCTCAAGAGCTGTCCTTTGGATCACCTGCAGTGGGAGAACGCGATGATTGTCATCGGTCCCAGAGAAACCACTCACGAGGCCGCAGCTGTTGTCTGCCAGGTTCCAAGCATTTGCGAGCAACTTCTTGGGATACTGTGACGTCTCTGTGGGGAAGACGCAGTGACAAACCCAGAATGCAATGGTCTCGAAGTTCATGTGGAAAATGTCATAGAGCACGTCAAACTGCTGCTCGTTCGACAAATCGATCATTGACGCTGCCTCAACGGTGGCCCTCTCCTCTGCTGGAATCACGCGTTTGCTAAGTTCAAACCAGGTATCGTAGTACCCGCGCTGGACTGACTCATCACAGGCCAAGAGGACTTCGAAAGCCTGTCGCAGCTCTTCCCTGGTGAGACCATCGTAGAAGTAGGACAGCAGTGTCAGAAGGATGGCACAGTCTGGGTGCCCAAACTCACTCCTCTCTGATGGCGTGTTGCTTGCCTTGTAGGGGACAGCCAGTCGCTTCAGGTGGTTGCGTCGAATGCCATACTCCACAGAGTGGCGTTTCTGCATGCAGTGCTCCAGCACCGCACAGGCTAGAAAGCCACGCAAGGCCAGCAGTACATGTAGGCGATCTTCGGGAAGGTTGGAGGGTAGGCAGCTGGAATCTATGTCTGGCCGGCTGAGAAATTTGACCACCGCACTGTGTTGATGGTAGTTCTTCAACCACGCCAGCTCATATGGAGGATCTTCCATCAAGTCCTCCAGGATTGCCTGCCGCACAGATGGCATCACCTTGTCCAGATCCTGACCTGGGATGAAACGCAGGCGTCTTCTCCACGGCCCTCGCGCAAGGCTTTGCCATGGAGGAGCTGGCTAACGCGATCTGACTGCTGCAAGACTCTCAGCAGGGCTGTAGCAGTCTCCCAGCGCTCGGGGCCCTGCGGCAACGGCATGGGGCTGCCGACTGCGTAGATCAACTGATACTTGTGCCTGAGAACTTCATCACTTTCATCAAGCAAGTCGCGAACTGGCATATCTGCAAGCTGGGAGAGGAGCTTGCATTTCTCTGTCTCACCCTGCAAACGGAGCTCGTGCCATTTGAGTTGCAAGGACAGGCGGTGCTCTGGAGCAACAAGCAGGACACCTCCACTCTGACGGCAGAAGTCCAGGGAAGAGATCATGACCTGAATGTCTTGCACCTGCAGCTGCACATCACGATGGAATGGCATGACAAAGATCCTTCGCAGCAGCACTGTGGCGCACAAATGCCGGTGCATGAAATCAAAGAGCTCGTGCATCAAGGCTGTCAAGGCGGTGATGCGCAACAACTTCTGTTCACCGGCACTGTTCCGTCGTGCCCAATGCAGGATGAGCATAGGCAGGATTACACGCGTCTTGCCCTCACCCATGTTTAGCTGCACCACCGAACCGGGGTCATCCATGAGCTTCTTGGCCACGTCATACTGCACTGGGCGAATCTGCAGGCCACCCTCGACTTCAAACACCAGCCACTCGGGGTGCGTTTCGACATCCCAGCAGCGAGTTACCAGCAGCTCCTGCAGAAGCAGAGGGTAGACCCCAGCCGCGGCCTCGGATTTTGCAGGCGCAGGGCCTGTTTACCTGCAGAAGTGTACACCCTACCCTGACCTTTCAGAGTCTTCAGCTCAGCCACATGGGCCGCAAGTCGGTTGAACTTGTCCTCCAGGACGTACAGCTTTAGCAACAACAGCACGTGTTTGTGCAGCTGTTTTTCTGCTTCTCTGGACCTTGCATCAAAACACATCAGGATGGAAGCACTTGTGCCAAGCAGGCTCAGATGTGCTCAAATCAAGTAGTATTGGCATTGGACGATTGGACGTGCATGCTCAAATTTGCGGGCACACCACAGGAAGGGGTTGAAGTGTCTAAGATCCGATGGCTGCATCGCAGCCCGCAACAGGTCACGGGCGGTCACCTGTGTCCACAGGCAAAGCATAGCATAGTAATTCCCCAACACCGTTCTGGGAAGGCCTGCCTGAGGGGCCAGGTTGGTCAGCTGGCGAAGGCGAAAGATGGCCGAGTCATCGGCACCTGTCAAAATCATGCCCCCTTCAGTACTTGCAAGAATCCCAATCTCACAGGTCAAGATATGTGAAGTCCTTTTTTTCCAATATCAAAACTTACACCCTAAACCTTCAAAATCAAGCCAGCCGAAGGCCTGCGCCTTCGGGAAATGTCCGAAGTGTACTTGCAATGAGGTCGAACATCTGATGCCGCAATGCGCTGACTGCTGCCAGCTTCTCTTCCCAAATGCCGGCCTGCTGCATGGTTGCTCCAAACTCTGCAGTACTTGCACCACACCCTCAGTCCGCTCAACCCTGAAAGCATAAGAACCCCTATGTTGTACTCGCCTGTCGACCGTCGGCGGTGACCTCCAACTCCTCTTCCTGGTGGTGGATTTCCCAGCTTCCTGAAAGGCATCCAAGCACCCAACACTGGAATGAAGCAATGATGCGCTCGGAGCTCTGGACATCACTGTAAGTCCGATAAATATACGATTTTGCCTGGGACATGATCTTGAAATCTGCTGTGGAAGTACCCACGCTCTCCATTCAACGCCCATGGTGGTCTTCCACTGTCTTGCAGTGCTTTCTCCTGCATCATCTCTTGCCCGATAGGCGAGGAGGCACAGTGGCCTGATATGGTCGAAGCCGTTCTACCGACTTCAAGCAAAACCTCACAAGCCAGCCAACAAAAGCGTGGACTCTCTGACTCTAGTGTTTGTCATGAAAGGCATTATGACTCGTGAATGGCCTTATGACTTGCGCGACGCCCTTTCTGATCTGAGTTATGTCAGCAAAGTTGTTGGGACAACAAAAGCTTTCGAGCAGTTCATTTTCTACTTATCTAGCGCCAAGGAGGGAGTACCAGCTCACACTCTTTGAAAGTCAGCTCATATTTTCGTACTTGTCAATTTGTCTAGATCCAGCACCCTCAATGGATTTGTTACGGCCGCTCCCCATAACTGTTCACGGAGTTCAAGGCTGCCTTGGAGTGGGAACGAGGCCATCGCCTGCGGCTGCGACCTGAAGCAAGAAAACACAAGCTTTCCTTATGGCCTGATGCGGTCCTCCACATTTTAGACCGTAAAAGTTGAAATGCGCGCAGAGTGCAATAAACCCGAATGCATGCAGCGCATTTCAGAAAGGCAGGCGAGTCCCCCGGGATTCTAGCGTTACCGCCTCGTGGAGCCGGTGTCTGAGGCCAGGACTTCTTGGCAACGAAGCGCTTCAATTCAGCTTCGACATCCTCAACATAGGACTCCGCTACCTTGGCCGCGAGAGAAGACATCACCATCACGAAGCCTCTTTCATCCGTTTCAACATGGGTAGCTTCCTAGCAGTGTGCTCGGATATTGCTCCAACTACCACCTGCTGGACTTCACGGGCGGGTGTATCATCAGCCGCTACCGCTAAGAGGAGTTACAGGGCAAGACCCTGGTGCGATCTCCACCGCGGACTTGCAGGCCTTCACCTGTGCGAAACGCAAAAGCCCATCATGATTCAGACATGGTTGCCGTCTTTGATGACACGTGACGTGGTTAGGTTTAAGAGACCGCATAGCGTTCCCATGCGGCGCTCGTGGCATCTTTGAGTTGAGGTGGCATGGGCCACAAGGCTGCAAGTGTGGTCTTGTCGGGGTATCAAGAATGAGGAATGCATCTTGAAGAAGCTACAGTAGGAACCTGTGGACTTTTCGTCGGTTTAAGAACCGGAGGCTTAAGCGCACTTCGGTTGCAAGAGTCACATGCTTAGCCGCACAAAGAGCACTACAGTAGCTTTAGTCTTGTTCTGCGATGACAGTCATTACAGTGCAGACCTCATCATATGCCCCTCCCCTGTACTGATTGAATCAAATGCAAACCCCGTTCGTGAACGGGTTGCATGCTTTCCGAAAAGAGTATATTCGCAACAGACTCTTCGGCAGGACACCTTCTTGCTGCCCGCCCGACCGCCGAAGCACCGCTGCTCCTCCTGTGCTGTCAACAGTCTCCTCGGGTTCGATGCCTGGGCTTTTGGCTTGACCAGCAACAAGACCCCCAAACCCCAGGGTTGAGTTTTGGCCTTCGGGGAGGGCTTGCTGAAAGATCTGCAGATTTGGCCCCCTACATTTCCTGCGCCCACCATGTGCAAGTGCTGTGAGGCTACATGCTGTAAGCTCCTGACATCAGCTCGACAATGCACGTGGTCACGCCCCGTGCAAGCCAAGGTGCAAAAAAACTGCAGCCAGCTGACCGCGCCTCCTTCATGGATAGTTTATCACCCTGACTACACTCCTTCAGAACCTGCACTCGTAGAGGCAGCAAATCACTTCTAGAGCCGGCCTTCAAATAACCAGCCGACACGACATCTTCGTTTGGCCAGACCTGCACACAGGCATCACAAACCGTCGATAAAGGTATCGGTGCAAGGCCTGCACAAAAAGGGAAGTGCGAGAATCGAACGAACATGTGAGGTTCCCTTGTCCCCTGAAACTACACTTTATATGGCTGTGCAGGATTGTAGTTTCGAAGAGCTGTGAGTCAGAACTCAAAATCACGTTTTCTGGTTCCTGGAGTTTGTGAGGCCTAAATCATTTTCCTTCCCACACCCATCCAACATGGAGGGAACATGAGGGAACTGGTTTTATGCGCTCGCATGTTTGAGTGGACCGGCCGTCGGAAACGCGTCTAAGGCCAACCTTGCGCTACATGTCAAGAGGTAGGAATGTTGCTGAGCAACATGTCCGGGGGCCAACATTGCATGACACGCACCCGTGGTGAACACTCTCAAGCCAAACCTTCAGGCAAAGCCAGCTCCAACTTAGTAAGCTGTGCTGCCATTGTCTGCCACTCTCATCCCGAGATCTGCCACTCTCATCCCCAACACCCGATGCCCTGTGCAGCAGGCCTCTTTTGTGGGCGACGGAGTACCATGCAAAACCGCAAGCTGGCTGGAAGATCGCAGCAGTTCATGACCTCAATCTCTTTAGGTCTGCAAGATTTTCAAGTACTACCAGTGCTCCCGGTAACACATGCAGGTATCAAGGCTTCAGCCACGAAGAGGCTTGGGGTGCAAAAGGTGCAAACCCAATCCAACCGTCGCTGAAATGATGGTGCATATTTATCTTTCCATGATGTTTAAGGTTAGAAGCAGTCTTTCTCATCCTAGAACAGATTCATGAGTGAACAGTGAAACGATCAATGGTTGGCTGGTAAACTGGTGGGAGTCCTTACCTTTGGACCTGGGCATCTGGGATACCAGGGCCCGACCATGAGGGGACCAAAAAAAACGGCCGTAGTTTTGGCAGACCCTTAATTCAAACTCAGTTCATGCTAGAAGCGAAATCTCAGCTACGTGCATTTTTGAATGGCAACACCCCTGAACCGTTAATCTGCAGCCCTGAGGCTGCGCATCCATGTGCTTCACATGCTTCACCTAAACATTAAACTCGATTACGGCATAATTGTCTATATGGAGATGATACTGATAATTGTTCAAGTTCTTGCGCTACGCCGCAAGGCCTGCTTCTGCAGTGCACCAGAGGTCGGTAATTCCGGGGCCATGGCAGAGAATCTGAATCGCAAATGGTGGGCGCGAGCAAATCTGTAGAAGGCTCCGAACGCCTCAGCCCAAAGCGACAAGGCTCTTCAGGCACGAGAGGAACTGTACGGCGACCTCGCGTTCTGCCCCAACTTAGTCACTTCCGCTCATCCGCAAGATTCCCCCATTTCTTATTTGCTGCTTGGCAAAAGGATCTGGAACCCTGCCTTTGACCCAGAATCCTGGCACGGGATGGCTAACATCAGAACCCACAAGAGATGGAACCATGAGCCTGGTAGACGCTTAATCCAAGGACTAGCAGCGCAAGTGCTCCTTCTGTGTGAGCGGCCGGTTCACCCAGCATTGTCTCACCAGGTCCAGTGCAAATTCCATGCCGGTCACCTTCAGGTACTTGGCGAAAGTATTTCACCACTCCAAAATTAAATTCTGGCCCTTTCTCTGTCAGGCAAGGGCCCACTTGCATTTGCTGTCTCACGCAACTCAGGACTCTGAATCCATAGTCATAGCCCTTGCGTGCAACATGTTCGAGAAGCTAGAGAAATTATAGGCCTGTTCAGTGCTGGCAGTATGGAAGTCCATCAGACTCAGACAAATGTGATGCCAAGTGGCCCCAAGACGTGGATCCGGCACATCGCAGCCCGTCCCAGCAAACAAATTGGCAAGTAAAAGCCGGGATTGCACACTTTCCGCTTGCAGGTGGCCGAAGCGCTCATGCACGTCGAAACAGACCTGCTGGCCACCATTGCCATTGACCATGCTTGCGAAGCAGGTGACTGTCTGTGCAAATGCACGCCGAGCTGCCGTATCGTTCTTGGAGCCGCTGCCAAAATCAATGTTGAGCGACAAGGGCTTCCCCAGTTTCACTTCAGCGTCTTGAAGGATGATCTTGTAAGCTGGCACTGTCAAATCCTTGGAAACAGTGCGCAGCATACGGCATTACGCTCACGGCCCGTACAAATCAATTTTCGGTCAACTCAGGTGCAGGCATTAGGGTCACTCCTTTCCAGCACAAGGTAACCGTCGAAGTCTACCAAGGTATCACTCAACTTCTGAACCTTTGCAAGCTGGTAGCCCCGGTAGTCGCGGGACAGCCAGGTGCCCCCTTCAAACGAGAAAGCCATGTTCACACGCGGGAGATCCAGCTTCTCCACAGGTGCATTCTCATCACCCCTCCGCGCGTAAGCGTGAATAAAGTCCTGAGATACACGGCTGTGCACTGACATTATGCTACACAAAGTGTTTCTTGGGCATGGCAGACTATGGTGTTATGTTATTCTCCTTGTCTGTAGTGCCCACACACTGAAGCAAACGAGCTGTGAGTATCATGATGGTTGAATTTTAGACAGTTTAAGCGATCCTCTGTGCCAGCTGCGCTTTACAAAGATGGTGCTTCAGCAGCATCAGCAGCGTCGAAATAGATGTTAAAAACACGACACAAGCAACAATCGCGTCATTACGGACCGTTTCTAGAGCAGAACGGCATGAATACGAGGGCTTGCGACTTTGTTTGCAAACTCAGATTTGCTTGGTTCTCTATTACAGGGGTCTGGTTGGGGGGGCGAAGCCAAGCGGTTCGGGGCAGACCAGAAAGCATGACAAATATGACAGGGTATGCACAAAGGGTAAGTTGATCCTGTATTATCTTAGCAAACATTAAAGCACTGACTAATCATGCAGCCTCAGAGTCAGGGTGCTCAAACTTGCTAAGCACGTCCACCACCTGCGCCTTCAGCCCGACAAGCTGATACACCACGTCCGGATGTTGAAGCAAATTGTCCACGTTGCGCTCCATCAGATGCTCCGGAATTTGGCAGCATTCCTCGTCCCTGGTTTGAATGAAGTGGATTTCCTTCCTGCGGAAGTGCACTGGTCGAAAGACTATTGCAGCAGTCTCCTGATCCTCCCAGTGACTGTGCAAATCGACCAAGCGCTGCGGGAACGAGCCGAACGACTTCGGCTCCAGCAATCGAAGCGAGCGGCCTTCCAAACGAAAATCAAACTGCTACCAGGTCTAATCTTCTAAACCTCTAAACTTGTGAGCAAATTTGCTGCTATCTCCTTCTTCAAGCTGGGATAAAAGTTCTAGGCTGGCAGAAAAGATGTGGCAACTGCAGCTTCGCCAATGGATTACTATGAATTACTTAGAACAAAATCCGGGGATCGCTTGAACATCAAGTTTGGGAGTTGGAGCTGGAGGGATCTTGGGGCCTGTCAGATCCTCCAGGGCTTGGGACTTGGGGTTTACTGTAGGGCGCAGGGTTTCGAGTTTTAGGGTAAAGTTTAGGATTTTAGGGTTTGGGCTTTCCGCCTTCGTGCATCTCAGTGATCAGCAAGCTTCCAGAGACTTCCTTGAATTTGTAGAAGTATCCATCTACTGGCCGAGACGTGCAAAACGTGCCACACGCATCCAGGCTGACTTCAAATGCAGCCTCGCCAAAGCTGCGCTGGAAGAGAGGATGCTCAGTGACTGTGTGTGGGAGCAGGCGAGGTGGATAGCCATCCAGCAGGACGATGCCGTTGAGCAAGTTGATGCTGTACAAACGACGCTGCCCGTCTAGCGCATGAAAATCAGACGAGGTCCCTTGGCGCAGCCACAGCAGCGTTGCGGGAACATGTTCAAACGCGGCAGAAAAGGCTCGTGTGATGAAGTCCTGGGAAGCCTGGGCGATGCGCAGAATGTCAGGCATGTGCTGGACGGCGCGGGCACTGGCCATATGGAGTAGTCGCGTGTCTTTGGCATCTTTGCCAGCATTGCTTTGCGCATAAACCATCCCCATAACCAACCTTTCCGCATCTTCGGTTGTCAGTGCGCAGGCAGGCGTGCATAGTACTGCATACAAACCATACAGGTGCACCTGCACATAGATCAGATGTGCGTTCATCTAAAATCCTATGCCACGGATAAGCAGGGGGTCCTATCGTTTTTTTAGCGCATTGGTTCGTGGAGGTCGGGCCAACAAACCGTCATGCTAGGGCCCGTCGTTGAGATTTTCACTTTCTCGGCGTTAATTTCTGCGAAGTCTTACAGCATTCCTCTTCTAGCCCTTATACATTTGCACTAAGCACGGCTTAGGAAAAAAATATGCTAATATCTGCTGCAGTTGCCTTCGCACGTAGCGCGTCCTGATGCTTGCTGGCGAGACCCTGCATCTGGTTCAGGGCGTCCCTCGCCCACTGCAAAGCTGCTCGTGAAAGCCGACGACATCCTTCAGCGAAGGCAGCAGCAGATGCGGGCACTGACCATTGCAGCAAATAGTTCAAGATGTCAGCCAGCGTCGGGAAGGCTTGATGATCACGAGGCTTGGCGACAAATTCATCCACCAGCGCAAGCAAGGCGATCTGGAATTCACCAATCAGGTCCATCATGTCAGTTTTCCAGTGCAAGACACCTTCCTCCTCCTCAGGGCCCACCTGATGAAGCAACTGCCTCACAAGGTATTGAACAGCAGGCTCCGTCCATGGAAGGGATGGCTCTTGCAGCGCGACCAGCAACTTCCGAAGCTGCTGACATGGAAATGCTCGCAAGTTGCAGAATGTGAGATATTCGTGCTTCTTAAGCCATTTAGGACGCTCATGCTGACTTGCAAGGGCCTTGTTGCCTCTTGTATGCTCTATGGCATGGGCCTCTCCCTGGACAAGCATGGTCCATTGCAAGCACTGTGCATTTGCAGGCAATCGTTCCGTCCAGAAATCTGCCAATCCAAAACTTCCCGGGCCAAACTGCGAGACGCAGAAAGGATTAATGAAAGAACCATGGTCGACTTTCAGCCCATCAGACTTCCATGCCATCTGCGGGTTCAATGCATCTGGCCACCAGACCTCAGAGAGGTCGACACTGATAGACTGCTCACTTTATGCAATCTGCTCCCGGCTCTGTCGTCTGTTTGACTTTTGCAGCCTGTGCAACTGCGAACCCTCTCTAGTGCAGAGTATAGTATTGTCCTTGCATTGATGCATCATGCAGCCTGAAATTGCCTGAAACATCCTGAAACACTTGAGACGCGCACGCCATCTCTCTCAGATGTGAGATGATCGATGTGGGTGCCGCGCACAAGTGAGTCTTCTGGTATGCGTCCACGACTCAGCAGCTGCACCGGGCCATGCTTGCCATGCCGCCGCGTCGGTGGAGTGAAATACAAGCAGCTCTGCTTCTTGTTGTAATAGTCCGCCCAGCATGTGGGGAAGTTTTTAACACCGATCGCATCCGTCATATCCCACCTCTGCTTGCTGAAGCATAATAAGCAAACAATGGCAAACAGCTGCAACCGAAAGAACAGCGCTGCAGACTAGCCACCTTTTTTCGCAGCGCCACGGCCAGGGCAGCAGCAGCTGCTCCGCCAGGATAGTCATGCGCGAAAGCGAGCGCAGCAGGTCAGGAGTGTACAGGAAGAAAATAACTGCTTTGGCGGAGTCGTCGCTTTCCGGCAGAGGCTGAAAAACCGCCGGTGGTGGAGTCTCTGCGCGCTTCAAGTCCGCCTGCTTGCGCTGCAGCCGAGCTTGCAGGTTGTCCACTTCAGACTGCAGCTGGCTCTCGGGTTGGTGCTGGTTCAAGACTTGCTCCCATTGGCGGATGGTGGCACTGTGGCGTGCCACTGAATTTCTCAGTAGACGCAGTTCCTCTTCCGAGCCCAAGCCAGGCATCAAGAAACCTCTCCAGCGATTCTCTTCATAATGCAATCTCTGCTTGGCATTGGCTTCGTCTTGCCGTGCTTTCGCAGCTTCCTGGCGGGAGAGCACAGCAAAGAACAGCTCTCTGTGAAGCATGTCAGATCATGTCAGGACTTGGGGACTAGAATACATGCTGCAGCAACTATGCACATCCAAGTAACTTCGCCGCATCTGTGACCGTCTCAAGCTCTTGTACCAACGGTTGCAGCTTCTGCTCCAAGGCAAAAATCTCATCTCGAAGAGCTGCAGCCTCTTCCTGCTGCTTTCGCACTTGGTGCCAGTGCTTCTCCACCCTGGCTGCCTCTGCATCCCTCTCCTCCGCGTAAATCTCCTGATGCTGAGGATAGCCTGCACTGAAGGCAGCAGCGAAGTGGAAAGTTGCCTCCTCAGGGAGATCTGGCATCCCGTTTCCACAGCATACATCTATGATTTGTACTAAAGAGTGGCCTGCTTGGAGAGGTTGAAGAGACCAGTGCCCTGTCGCTGACGTTGGCAAAGGAAGTTGCTGATTGCCTTGAGTGCTTCAATCTCCCGACGTGTTGTGAGGTGCACTCTCCACAAATCTTCCAGACGCAGGCCGACGCCGTACTCGTTCACGAGAGGGTAAGAAAGCTCGGACGCCTCGGCTGCACGGCACAAGTACAAAGACAATACCAGCACCTTGGTTGCACTTCGGGTTCAGACCTGTCACCTGTGAAGATGCTTTGCTTGAACAAGTGGCCTGCCAAAGCAGACAGAATCCAATCCAATGCACCAACACCTAGGGTTGCCGATGCACTGCATCAAGCGCAGTCGTAACAGTACAAGCGCTTCAGCTGTAGAATCTCGACTCTCAAAACACTCTCCAAAACACTCTCCTTGCCCAACACCGTCGAGGAAAGAAAGTGAAATTTTGCCAACAACGCTCACGAAGCCTATACCATGTTTCATATTTTCTGGGCACGAGTCGTATCATCAATTATGCTTTTGTCGTTGGGGGATCTGTGGACCGGCATAAGAGAACAAACAATCAGGCTGTGACAATCTCTCCCCTCAGTGATAGCCCCCCACCCACTAACAATGTTAAACGTTCTGCCTAACTTACCATGGCAGCATATTTCGGGCGTTATGGGGGCGTGGGGGCGCGTATTATTAGGGAAGCTCAGCTCTTCATCGCCTCGCGGCTCCGCAACTCCACCTTCCACACCGCATAGCTCCGGAAACTTTCGCAGCGACCACGATAATCGTCCAACAGGCCTACATTGCTTCAGTCAAGAGATAGGTGCGGCTTTGATGAGGAAGTGGAGGAATGTGGAGGCTTCAGGTCCCGAAGGCGAATCGTAATTAGCGGTAGGATGGGTTGCTCTAGACTCCGGTCTGTAAGGGATAGGAAGGGGAGAATCAGGCCTTCGGGCCTCTTGGCCGCCAGGTTTGGGTACATGGCACGCGCTGTGCAGATACCGTACAACATGCAAAAGAATACCAAGACATTTGCCTGGCTGCAAGCAACCGTTTGATCCTTCAAATGATGCCATGACTGCTTACACTGATGTAGATTGTAGATCGGTTTTGTGCAGGTGCTTTCCGTTAAGTTTGAGTCATGGCTTTTAGGCCCTCACACAAGCAAAACTTAATCGTGTTGCCGGTTTAGCCGATGAACCTTCCATTGCATTCAGATCATCTGCTCCCCAGTCGTCTCCCAGTCGTAGCGCGCATTCGAACAAGATCTTCTCCACTGCTTCCAAACAGACCTGCACACATGCAAGGTGGACACCTGCGCGCCAAGCTAACATGAGACTCCTGAAGCTAGCTGCTTGCGCAATCCATGTGCTAAGTCTTCCCAGCTTGGCCCGCACCTGCATCTGAAGTCGGCAAGTGCCGTTTTGCTGCCGCAGCCACTCCAGCACATCAGCAAATGACTCGCCACCTTGGATACCTCAGCCGCATGAAGCATGCCTGCACAGGACTCCAGCTTTCCTCTCGCTCTTGAGTTAGGCCAGGAGTGATGGGAAGCCGAGGCTCTAGAGGGAGTTTCCACTGACTTCAGGTTCTTCTGTGCCCTCTTCTTCGCAGCGCTGAGACCTGGTCCTGCAAGCAGGCCATTGTCCTCATCCTCCTCAGCCTCAATATCTGGAATAAACCAAGACGTTGCTGAGATGTCAGCAGCATCCTCCAAGGTGTACTGAGATGCCCTCCACTCACCCCTGGCACGCAAGAGACCATCCAAGGCGGATCGGAAGCATTGGAGCGGATGCAGCATGTCCGGCAAGTCCACTTCATCCCTGTAGAGCTTCGCGACTTTGCTGGCCACCTTTTTGAGCATCGCCATAGTTGCCTGGAGCCGTTCTGCTGAGGCAGTCTCAGGCGATAGCAAATTTACCTGCCGTTCAAGGAGGTGCATGCAAAAGATCGCCATCACCCGCTTGTACAAGGAACGAGGCTCTTCATGGGAGCTCATCCGTGCAAGCACATAATGCAGAATGGCCTCACAGTTGCATTATTATCTATGACACACCTATGATTCTGCCGCCGTGAGTTTCGAGGCCAATCTGAAACTGGCAAACCTGGATGTTTTTTTTGAAAAGTTGGGCAGCCCTGCCTTTAAGGATGACCAATGCACAGAGCGTACCCAGGCTTGCGAGCCACTGGCGGAAGCTTTGATCAAAGGACGAGGGGCATTCATTATTCTCTCCGTAGAGATCTTGCTCGCCTTGGGCTGCATTTCAGGTGCGATGCCAGGATGTGGAAATACTCCCCACTCTGCATATTCCACCGGTGATGCGGCTGCCATAAGTTGCGGGGTCCTGCCACTGAGCAGGGCATGGGAACCATCCGTGATTTACCTTTCAAGTAGCTGATAGTTCAAGGATTGTTCAAGGCCTTGCTTTCTAAGTTTGTTCCGTAGGGGTGAAGCGTTTCTCGCCATTGCGCCTTTCTGTCTTGGCGCTGTCCGCTGCAATTGCCTTTTGCAAAGCTCGTAGGTACGGTTCGGGCGTGGGCTCGTTCGAGGATATCGAAGAGACGCTTGTTTTGAATGCACCTCAGATTATTTTGGACCATGTGGCTGCACGGAAGTTACCAGAAAAATGCCGAGTTGCATAGCCAAACGAGTGTATTCTTACTCTGTTGAACGCGTCCCTCTGAGGAAAACACGGCATTGCCGGCCGTCCAGGGTTGAGCATGCGAGAACAGCTTCCGTGCCACCTCCTCTCTCCCAGCTGGTAGGCTTGGACACCTCCACGATCCATACCTGAAGATCTCGCGAGCGTAGGGCTTCGGGAGATTTGGTTGCCCTTTGGTTGCCCTAACTTCTGTGCTCAACTCCTTGTTCGAGGCCAGGCGCTGTCTTCCATCCTGGAGGATAGCTAGACCCCGCAGGCCCCATCAGCCAAAAGCAGCCCCTTGCAGCATCTCTTCCCAGGCAAATGCCGTCTTGCTTGCCTTGCAAACCACATGCGGTTTGTGGTGTACAGGAACGCAAATCCCGGGCAAAAAATCTCACAGTGGGGGGGGATGTCCAACTTAGAAGACATCCGACTGAGGGCCAGTTGATTTTCTGTGGGTACAAAGGAGTCCCTTCGCCACTTTTTTTTCGCTGCAACAATCCCTTGCTTCAGCACTGTAGTTGTGCGGGCGATGCGGCCCGTGCAGTACTAAGTCGGCAGAAGCAGGATACCATTTTGGAGTGCCCAATCAAAATCAACAGCACGCTTCCGCGCTAAAGGAATTGCCTCTTTGATCTTTGACACACTCCGTGATCCTGCAAAAAGCCTGCAGCATGGCCCACCACACCCCAGTAAGAATGCCCCGTGCCTTTTTAGCAAAAACCTCTTGCTATGTCCATGCTTCAGGAACGAAAGAGATCCGTCACGGAAATGCTCCAAAATTGTCATCACAAATCCGTTCAACCAAGCTGTTGCCTGCTGCCCCGTGAGCATGTTACAGGCCCAACTTTGGTGGCCCGGCCTTGCAAAATCCGATAAGCCAAGCCCAATGCCTGGCCAGTAGGAAGGTGCTCTCATGGTTCTCTCTCTCTTTTCAGGGTGTGGGGCCTATGGGCTCCAGAAGATACCAGAAGTAGGAATTACAGAAAGAGGGCATGATTGTGATGCACTGCGATTTGTTCTGACGGCGTGTGCCAAAAGACCGATGTTTTGCTCCGCAACGCAACCTCCTGCTATGCACCCGTGGAATGCTGAACTGGACACACCCGGAACGCCCACGGAGCGTGGGAGCTGTTACAACAATGTTGGGGTTTCATCTTGTGATCTTGCCACCTGAGAACTAGCCACGTCTTGGTGCTTTGGGTCTGGGCTCTTCGAGCAACTTGTTGGGTCCTGGTTTCCAGACAATCTTTCAAAACATAAACACTGCTGAAAGTCTGTACCAGACCCCTGCCCATCCGCTTCTGGGGGGAAGGCTTCTGAGGGGACAACCTGCGCAACTATGAACTGGAACTTATTGCAGGGTCCCTTCACGCAAGGACTGCAACCGTCCAAGCCTCCCTGTCCGCATCGTTTGCGCTCCAACCCAGGTGTGAGAGTTCCTTCGAATGGTTGCACTTTAGCGGTGGAAAGTACAGTGCTGGCACAACGCACATCAACTCACGCTGCACATTTGAGTCATTTGAGGCTCATACAATCAACTTTTGGGACTTGTACTGTTAAAGACCTATGAAGGACCCATGAAGGATCTGTGGCAGCAGGCGACAATCCTGGCCCTCCACCTGCAAGAGGCTCTGCAAGAAAGCCAGGAAGACCTGTTACAAGAACGTGATGTATTAGCAACATCACAACTGCACTGGTAAGAGATGTTGTTGCTGCTGCCAGCGGCAGCCAGCCGCGATGGGTTTTCTATCACAAGTTTTGCGTGTCAGATAATGCCTACTACCATTCATCAAGTACTAGCCACGGATATCCACAGGGTTCAGATATAAGTAAGACCGTTTTTCGCTACACGGCTTCGTACCTGGCGCCACATATCTGGACCAGCATAACCCAGCCTTATCAAATTTTGTGCTCGCATCACCATGTGCCGCGTTGTCACCGTCGCGGTCATGCAGAAGAAAGATGCCTTGGGAAGTTTTCGTGGGCAGTCCATGGGTTGGCCTCTGCACAACAGAAAGGCGCTTGCAATGTGCAACAAAGATGCTCGTCAGCAATGAGCGTGGAAGGCACCAAACATCTGAGCCCTGTGGCTGTTGAAGCCATCCGATGAGAAGAACTGCACATTTTTCATCATCAGACCTGACTGGGAAACTTCGAAAAAGTTCGAGTTGACGACAGCACTCATGAGAGCGCTCCGCTGAAACCACTGTGCGTTACATGATGATGTATGCAGGCAAAGGTTGAACTGGTTGAAGCGTCCCGCAATTGCGAGGTTTGCTGAATGTGGTGCCTCACAGCACGGTGGAAATCCTTCGGCCTCGCCACTCCCAAAATCAAGAGGCCTCAGTAAAAAGACAACTGACGATCCATTGGTCTTTAGGCCATTTCTGGGACTGCAATAAGCTCAAGATTCCTGAAAACTACTGTCCGTGGGTGCCAACAGCTGCGAATTGCAGCTCTATGCATCATGTGTTGACCCTTCTTTGACAGGCCACTGCTGCTCAAACAGCGGTCAGGTCTCCGGTATCTCTCCGGTCTCATTGCTTGCGAGTGGCCATATTTGTTTATGACGTTTTCTGTTCGGTCCATATTCCGAAGCTCGGCAGATGTCACCTCAACGCAGGCAGGTCAACTGTCAGCTCAAAAGGCTTCATGAGATTTGAGGCCTGTGGCAGCCGTCTGCTTCGACAGACAGTGACAGTTTTTCAGTGCACATCTCAGTGCAGGCTGATGATCTCTGATGAGCGATCGGCATCCTTTTTTCAGCACATGTTGCCGCCGACCATCTGCTGCAAAGTCGCTGAAATGTCCTGAACTGCTCCTGCAGCACCCAAATCCACGGTGGCGCGCAAGGATGTGCACCTTATGTCTTATAAAGTCTTATGTCATATAGAGGTCCGCACAGGCTTTGCACGTGACACTGTGCTGCTTGAGACTGCGCAGTGGAAGCAAAACCTGCCTAAACCAAGGCCAGCAGAACGCACGTATAACAGCATTGCAGGTTGGAGATTCAATGACGCTTGCAAGTATCTAGTGGCACCGGAGTTCACACTGCTTTGGATGCACCTGACCCTCACATATCCTGCACCAAACATCACCAAACAAAGGCATGCGCAGGGCTCCATCTGCTGCAGGCCGGCTTGCTTGGTATAATGAAAGGATGCTCCTCGGCTTCGTGTGGCGCTACAAACAAGGCTTGGCGGAGCTTTGCAGGACTTCTGGGCACTGAGGTATCTACCCACGAATGACCACGAAGGAGGGCACATCCATGTCCGGTTTGAGATGCTTGCCAGATAATGACCAGACCTTTAGGCGATGAAGTCAAGCTCTGCGAAAAGGTCAGGCCAGAATTCACGCAATGAAAGCTGGGATTAGCCTAGCCGGCGTTGCATACCAAGTTGCCTGCTTGGGCCAGACATTCTCCACGCTCCCTTCAGCAAGCCGGCTCATCAACGAGTACAGGTCTGGTGCATTGAGCTTGCCACTGCCTAGCATGCGAATGGAAGTGAAACCAAGGCCGTCTACGATCTTCTATGCCTTACTTCATCCTCAAAATCCTCAACACAACTCTGCACGGTCATGGCTGCGGCACCATGGACCACTCACCCTAACTTTCAGGATTGCTTGCGCCTGGCTCAAGTAGAGAACAGGGCAGGTCTTCGTTGCGGTGAGGCAGCCGCGTCTCAGGATCTGAACCTCATGCTCAGAATTTATGGCTTGACTGTCTGCTTTTTGAACTTTTCCCCAAACTGCACTACCTGGACTTTGCAATCACATAAGCGCCTGACCGGTGGACTGGAATGCTATGGTTGATCCCACTTGGAGTTGAGCAATCGTGTGGCCACTCCAGAACGGGCTCTCCGAGCCATGTGGCACTGGTCGTACCAGCTTTTGAGTGTGCTGATCCAAGACAGCAACGCATGTGGTGCTGCTGCTGGGATGCGTTTTTGCCACAGCCACGCCCGCTCTTACATTGGGCTGGTTCGCCATGGCAGCTCCAAACTACACCGCTTGGAAAAGAATTGCGGTGCCAGCTTGGTCCTGCTTGTACAGAAACGGCCGTCCAGGTGGTGCAAACGTGATGTTGTAAACGATAGCTCAGAAGTGGGCTTTCGCATCCCAATGAAGTATTTGTCCCGTATACGTCCTGGACAAATCTGTGGGAAGAGCTGCCACGGCTGGCACTGGCTTCCTTTACCTGTGAAAACGATCAGAACACCAGGGGCAACAGCAACTTCAACTATGAGGCTTACATGCGACACCTTGGCATCGACTGGTAAGATAATATGTTTTTTTGTACAGGATCATGACTGCCGACAAGAACGGCAGTCCGACTCACACGAGGCATGCTGACCACACGTTCAGACTCTTTTTTTTGCGGGCCAAGGCTTTTGAAACAGCCGAGCTGTCTGCGAGACCGACTGCAAATTCATTCAAGTCGTGTCATAGATGCCAAGGTCGTCTGAGAAGTAGTCGTAAGCCACCTTGCTATTGGAAGACCATGTCACTTCACCCCGCTTGTTGACAATCGCCAGGTTACCATTTTCCTGCAACAGCAAGATATTTTCGCCAGCCTCTTCCTCCAGGGACGGATCTGCAGTCCCCGAATCCCATGCCGCCGCCCCAGAGCAATAGAGGACGAGGTTTCCATCGGCCTGCATCTTGAGCTGCGGAGTTTGGGAAGCATCGCAAGAAGCACCGGGCGACCAGAGCTCCTGCTCCTGGGACCAATCCTTCACCCTGATCGTGCCATTGGAAAATGCGAAGTCGAACTGGTAGAAAGCACTCCTCATGCGCAGGACAGCAGAGAATGAGAGTGTTGCACAACAGCTACGCGCGATCAGAAACTAGGCCAGCTGCCCAACACAAGATTTGCAAGCCCTGGTGGAATGCTTACAACAGCCTCTAGACTCTATCATCCAACTGCACCAATTCCCACTTGATCGAAGATCTAACGCGAGGCCAGCAAGGCCTCAAACTTGAAACGGTGGAAGGATGTCGATCCGATGATGACTCAGAGCTCTCGAAGAACACTAGAGGCATTGCGAGCGAGCGATCGAACGGAAAACACTGATACACTAGTCGTCGAGAGCACGATTTCGAGCCTCAAATGTGCTCAGGCTTATGTGGAGCCATGCTGGCTGAAGCCCACATCCCCTTTCCATATACCCTTGAATCGCCACGGGGGAGGGGGGGGGGGGGGGGNNGGGCACTTTGCTTCCAACATTTCCAACATGAATTGAAAACTGACACATACGAGAGAACCTCCACATCCTCCAGTCTACATCCTCAAAGGTCAACCAAGGCTCTGGACCAACCGCTGTCCAGGCTGGAGACTGTGTGGACTCGTCAAGTTGCTGCCCCCAAAGCCGACAGGAATTGGGGAGCTGCTGCTCCACACTCCCGCAAGATCAGGCACACTGTAGATGGTCAAAGCGCCTGCAGGGTTCAAGAGGCTTTGGAATCCAGCTTGAAGTGGCAAGAATGCAAGAAACGCACCCTTCTTGCTCCTACAGTGGCTAGTCCATGCACCTGTGTTTTCGATGACAGCCACGCGGCACAGGTCCTCACCATCGTCGGTGTCTGAAGCCCAAATTGCCGTGTTGGTGTCGTGACAATACAGCACCAAATTTCCATCCGGCTGCATATCTAGAAACGCGGCATCCTCATCGCAGCGGGTCTTCGTCTCCCATGTTTTGGAATCATACATGTTGTAAATGGCTAAGTTGCCATCTTTTGACAGAAGCAGTTTGCTGAGCCTGCTGTCGCTCCAGAGTGCCTGGTTGGCTTGCAACCGTTGTCCCGTCGTCAAGTTGTTGCTGGAGAATGTTTTGTTATTGTTCACATTAGTCCACATAGCTGACTTCGCATATTCGAACGTCGCCTGTATGTACCCAAAGTATCCGTTTTCAACACTCCCCAACTCAGCGCCGACAAGCTTGTATGTGGAGTCACGTGTGACCGTGATCCTCGTCGTGTTTTCGGAAGGTAGGATGGGGCAGCACCACATATCGCAATCGGAAGATGGTAAGTCGCGCCCGTTGAAGCAGCCGTACCAGGTCCCTGTATCATAACCATCAGAAAAGAACAGTTTCATGTTCACAATTGTCGCGTCTCCATTTGGAACATCCCAACTGGGGACTGCAGTAAGGTAAGTATAGTGCAGCTCAATGGTGTGGATGTACCTGTCTGGCCAAGCCGAATCATATGCATTCTGGTCGTCGGTGTGGGACTTTCCACCTGTCTCTTGCCCCCCATCTTCATAAGTCCTTGGCTGCGCCTTCACACGCACGGTGCATAAACAGTGCCATTCTCGGCTGGGGGCACGATATGAGAGGTACTTGTAGACTTGTAGGTACTCCTGACTCATGTCCAAGACACAAACGGAAGTAGTCAATGTTGTTCCCAGTCCACGCGCTTGCTGCAGTAATGTTGCCCGGGCCAAGTTTGCCGGTCTCATCAAGGGACCACTTCCATTCATTGATCCGAGCATTACCTAAGATGCTCTCCTTGACAAGTGGGTAATTAAGGTAGTTAGCTTGCTCACCATGAGTTGTCATTATCATTGAAAAACGTAGCCAACAACAGCCCACTTACCATCTCCTCGGTCCTGAGTGACGGCAGTGTAGGGGCCAACTGTTACACGCGCCACTGCTGGCAGGACTTGAACTTCACTGTCCTCCATGCCAGGCACGTATCGTTGTAAGTACCTGCAGTCCATGGTTGTAGGCTTTGAGCCTCTCTAATGGGTAGTTGGAAATTTTCGCGTGCAGAAACATGAAACATTCCGAAGTGTGGCAATGATTCTTGATATTTCAACCCTGCCCTCGGTGCCTTTCAAAGTGCTGGCGTCTGGCAGCCCCGCTATGATGTTAAATCTGTCACGCTGCCTCTACGAATTCCCTCAATCTATGACCCCAATATTCTGGTCAGTCGAGGGTACATGACAGGCAGCATCGCCTGCGCCATTGCGGCTGAGGCTTCATTCAGGATGCGCTGCTTGGTCATGTCACGGATGTCATCACACCTCAGGGTTCGATCATTTTCTTTTCCTTTCGACGGATATATTTAGTTGTACGAGTAGGTTTGCGGCCTGCTTGCGGGGATTCCTGGCCGGGAATCATCAAAACAAACGGCTTGGGATATGGGATTTCCTCAACTTGTCTTAGGCAAGGGCAGTCCCATGTTTGGCGGCATTTTTCAATCAGAGGACGAGGAGGGTTCCCATGGGCTACCCAAAACTACACAAAATTTGGGTTTGAAACACTTCCGCACCAGTTTTTGTCGCTGCTCATTGCGTTCGCGACGTTCATGTTATTGCCAGTGGTGCTTAGCTGGTCCGTAACGACGGAAGAGCAATCGCTCCACTCTCGTCGACGCCGTCGGCCCTCGTATGTCTGTCCCTGAATCTTCTCGGCCCTCCAGTCCTTCCACAGAGAGAAGGTATAGTTGAAGAAACCTTTCACACTCCGAGGTTGTTGGACAGGGGTGATCGAAGCATATTTAACCATCTGACAAATCAGAGGAAATCGCTAGATACAGGTCACCGAAAGAATCACAACAAACTATAGCCAAAGAAACTTTGGTAATACGCGACGCTCGCCTGCAAAGCATATGTCCAAGCAGGATCTGCCGCACCATAAAGACTTCGGCCATGCATCACCCGTTCCCTGAGAATGGCACAGTGCAGGGTAGCCCCCACGATGGTGATAGGCAGCAGTTCATACCTGAATTTTCGGCTGGGCACCATTCAATGCATGTTGAAGTGCTACAACTTGTTTTGTTGCTGGCTGCTAGCTGTGAAATACTCCTGTGCACCTGAGTTACTTGTTTGTGGAGATTGTGAGATGCGTCATTATGTCCTCGGTCTTCGCCAGGGCCACAGATAGCGTATCTCCCATTTCTGTCACGGTCGCTTCTCGGCTATAGCGTGTGAGGTAGCGACGTACAGACACGAAGTCGGCCTCCCTCTCCTTGAGCTCATAATTCAAGATGGACACGTTAACAAGTGTCCTGGCATTTTTAAATGTGTGGAGCACGAGTACTTGACACAAAAATGTGCAGCGGCCAAAACTTCTCGTCTGGCCTATGGACAAAAAGCCATACTGGTGCTGCAATCTCGCTCCATCTCGTTGTACATACTCCGAAGCATGTTGGAGGGGGACCACTACTAGGCTTGAGACATCTTGCGACCAAATGACCGAATCTATAACTATCTCGTTGTACAACATGTGTTGGGCCTTGGATCTCGTTATTTGGGAGACCATCTCGTTTGACTGAATACACACAAGATTTCCAAGACTCTTGACAAACGTTAGACATGTTTCAAGAGACGGAACCTTCGTCCGTCGCTTATTAAAGGGTAAGGGGGATTGGATTTCTCTTCGAAAGTCAACCCTCGGGGTTGTGGCAAATATCCAATACCAAGTTGCTCCACATCTGAAAGAACCAATTCCCAAATGTCCGCCTGGCTTGTGTCCGACGACGGCCAAAGGAACCTTGGCAAGTTCATGCGGGTTAACACACATGAAAATTTGTCATCAATCAGAAACAACCGATCAAAACAAAAACCATGAATGACAATCAGCACACATCTATTACATGCAGATGCAATGCACCCAAGCACACTGGCCATTGTCGAACCTGACACGAATCTTTTTATACCTTTCTCAGCTAATGCAGGGATCTCCCCCACGACAACCTCCGTGACACATTCGCCCACTTTGACCAATCGTTGTAACCAGCTCGTCTTCCCCTCCTCTTCTGAAGATGAATCTGTGCCTTCTTCAGCTTTCGCATAACTTGTCTGGACGTCTTCTGTCACATACTCGAAGGCATCCGTCAAGTCGCTTTTGATACTGTAGTGGGACCGCTGTTGAAGCAGTGATTCCTGGAGAGATTGTAATGCAGCTGCCTCTGCTGGAGATGAACACGCACCTGAAGTTTTAAAACTTGCTTCACGGAGACCATGGCCGCCAGCAATCTGTAAGAGAGGATGTTCCTCACTCTCAGGCGCGGGGCACGTCTGACTGCCAGCGCGAACACACTGCAGGAGGGCTGCCAAGACCGCAAACGAAGCCACCATCCCTGATTAACTACGGAACTCCGTGTGCCTCGCGAGCCAAGATATGCGGAAAGAAGGCCACACGCATGTCCAAACACATACATCTTCCAACTGGTAATTTGAAGTTTCCCTGCCATGCTTGTTTCCGTCGGCATTGTCGTGAAAAGGCCAAGAAAACAACAGCGGTGCAGTGGGATGCTCCCAGCACCGGTGGACTGATGGTCGAGGTAGCTCCAAACAGAACCGCCATTTCAAACAGGTTTTGGAGGCCCTACCCTCATTGTACATTTCGGGGCCCTGGAAACGTACAATCACTCCAGCTGGAAATGTACAACATCAGGCGGGGG